ACACAGACAGACACAGACACATCCCCATAGACACAGACAGACACAGACACATCCCCATAGACACAGACAGACACAGACACATCCCCATAGACACAGACAGACACAGACACATCCCCATAGACACAGACAGACACAGACACATCCCCATAGACACAGAGACACGCAGGCCTTCTGAAGGGTAGTTCTTTTCACGAGACGAGGCCCCCTCTTTTCTCCAGGTGTCTGTACACCGGAGCTTTTCCCGCAAGCCGCTGAACCGCTTCCCTGCTCCCTGGAGCGCGCTCGCTCGTAGAGGGGCTAAGGCAGGGGAGACGAATATGGCCTCGAAGCCTGGATAGTTTTGCCGCCTTACTGCTCATACTCTGAGCCTTTGTCCGGTAGAACATTTCTGCAGAGTTGTGTGAGGTAGAACCTGAGGAAAAGGCCCCTCATGGGGTGCTGCACGCCCTTGCAGAGCTCAGTCAGGTCCCTAAGAATGTCTGCTGCAGGCGCTTCCTTCGACTTGATAAACGCAACACCCACTGTAACCAGCAAATACAGCCGAGGCACAATGTTGCCTGCATGCTGTACAGTCTCGTACAGATCCGCCAAGCGCCTCCCGTGCCGGGATTTGTCTGTGAAAAACCCCAGCAGGTGCTGCAGCTCTTGAAACACCAGCATATCTGCGCGCAGTCCACCCACAAACTACCCGCGCATGCAGGCATGCACACGCCACGCTGGCGCGTAAATTGAAGCCCCTAGCCGCATGCAAAAAGGCGTCCAGCGCCCTTCGGGCAGGCGGCTCGCCAACCCAGCAAACACCAACACACACACGGCAGCAAACACCGACACACATACGGCAGCAAAACCAACACACATACGGCAGCAAACACCGACACACATACGGCAGCAAACACCAACACACATACGGCAGCTAACACCAGCACAAAAGGTCATGCGGGCCAGCATAACAAGCAACAAACACACTCCAACCACGCTCCAACCACTTTCTAGGAAAATCTGTGGAGGAGGACTGTGAAAGGAGGTATGCGCTCCTTCACGTCCCCTCCCACGACTCAAACTAGCAGGCTTGGCACGAGCGAGATAGACGTTCGACAGCCGCAGAAACCCCTCCTCCGCCATCCTTACAGAGTTCGTAGTAATGCTTGGGAGATAAAAGCGAAGTTCGCAGTTCGCTCACAAAGTTGGACGCATGTTTCAAAGCGTCTCGGAGATTGTCGCTGTCCTGTGCATGCATGCACCAAAACACACCCGCACCTGCCCAAATCGTGAGCGCCTCAAGACCAACTCCGAGCTGTGCCGAGTTTGAAGCCCCTTGACTGAACGGGCAGGCTATGGAAAGGTGCAGCAGGAGCTCAGACAGAGGGGGAGTTGCTCCGATCCCCCATGCGCAACACAACAGCAGGGAAACAGCGACATAGCGCAGGCTTAGATACGGCGACGGGGAAGACGGGAGGGGCAGGGCAGGGGGGCACTGGGTGACAACCGTACAATAGCTCTCTTCATATAACATCCTTGCTCTCGGACGACCGCAGAGGCCTCCTCAAGAAGCTTCTCCTGCTCTTGCTCTTGCATCCTGTTCCTGGTCACCTGTTCACTCGTAGTCCACTCCTGAATCGACAGCGCAGAATGAGACTCCACATATTTCAGATGCACATACCTCTCGTGCCCTTTCGAGCCCACACGGCAAGGCCCTGCGTGCGCGGCGTGACCAGACAAGCTTGAAAAGAGCGAAACACACTGCAGAAAATAACCTGCGGCATGCGAACCCCCGTGTGTCTGCGCCGAAACTGCAGCGCGGGAGCGCTACGAAGCGAGAAAGGGGCGTTCGCGCGGATTCGCGATCTGTACTTCACGGCTTACGGCTTTGACTGACACGGCAGTTACGCCTGCATGCGTCGGAGGGCCGCAGCTCGGGAGGCTGCAGCCTCGGCCGCGGGGATTTCGGGCTCTAGTACGTCTCTGGCGGTCGGAGACAGCTGTGTCAGAGTCCGGGGATCCATGCAGGGCAGGGATCCTGGTGTCTGTACACCCCAGCACTCGCTGGCTGTGTTTGAATGGCGAGGCAGTGGGAAGTCGGGCCAAGTGGGATATTTACGCAGAAGAAGTTTGAGGGCCCGCCGCTTCAAGGCAGCCCCCACAAAAGAGTTTCTCAAGGGAAAATCACGGTCCTGTGCAGTGCTCAGACAAAAGAGGTCGGTTGTGTCGGCGCGGGGGTCACGGAGCCCCACAAGAAGACATCTATTCGGCAAAATTTATGAACAATTTCTGGATAATGAATCTCTATTCCTCGTGTTTCTCACTTAGAAGCCACAGACCATTGCTCTTCCGTTCCGGCGTCTTCCTCTTAGTCCTACTGGAGTGGTCTGCGACGGCGAGCGCCTGGGCTGGGGCCTCTGGCCGCAGACGACGCGATTCTCCGTAGCATGAGACGTGAAAATGCGGTCGACTGAGCTCAGTCGGGAATATGAGGTGAGGCGTGCATCGGAGGGCGGGCGCTTTGACCGGCGGAATATGCTGAATGTGGCAAGTTGTGCTGAAATTGGCATCATCCCTGCTGCATGCCCAACACATGCACGTACCTGCTCAATCCCGGTAGAATATTTCACAGAAAGAGGAAGAACCGAACATAGTTGGCGAGAGCCGTGTCAATATTCGTAGTTCCCTTAAGCCCATGAGTCCCATATATCCTTCGCTACTACTAGCTTTTTGCTGGGCCCCTACTTGCAGTAGTGCACCAACTGGGAGGCATACGATCAAAACTCCGATGTTTTGGTGCTTCCAGACCTGTCCCAGCAAGCCCCGAAAAAAACGCTGTGATGGAGCTCTTGTAGAGACACAGAAAGGGCGCCTTCTAAATGGTAGACACCCGATTGCCACTAGAGCCACAGGCACTACCACATAGCTGGAGCATGCGCCCTAGCTCTCTGGGGGAGAAATAATGCTAAAAGCGTGTCTCCGCTATCTATGTTCGTCTTCGACATGTCTGCCCGCGGCCGTTTGCGCGTCTTGTAATAGAAAAGAGTATTTGCAGCGAATTAACCACCCTTCACATATTCTGCTACATTAGTTATATCTACCTAATAATTCAAAAGAATTGACTGGTTGGTTTGTCTTCTCGTATAGCGTATTCGTTGCAGGGTAATAAATACGGCTAGCTGAATGCAAGGAGACGCATCATTTTGTGTGTATGTGTGTGTTTCTACTACTACCATCAAGTCGTGAACGCTCGGAGGGCTTAGAGGGGGCAGCTACGTGGACCCTAGCTGCTGCCCCTCTTCCCGGTGAGTAAAGAACTCACAGGGACGCAGGCAAGGGAAGATGGGATTATTATGAGAAAATACTTCATATTTTTATATGCAGGTTGTTAAGAGTTTGGAGCTGATACTCTCCCTGTGAAGAACTTTGATCGGTCCACGTAGCCTCTCTCGTGGCCTTTGGTGGGCGAGTGCAAATCATTTCTGCCTCACTGGGAGTACTAGAAGAGGTGATGGTGATACTACTACGAGGCCTCCCCTAAGCACTTGATGAGTGTAGCCTATATACGGCGCTCCACCGCGTCTCCCTCCCCTCATTGTGCATTCGAAGTTACACTTGCTGTGGAGGCCCCTTCTCCTTCCCCCTATACAGGCCGTAAGGGACTTAGATGAGTGCTGCTTTCCTCCCACATACACGGAGACCAAGGAGGCGACGCCTAGGGTGCTGATTAGCACAGGCGAAGGGCCCCTCTACGGGTTACACGCGGGGAGGGGGCACAAGCTTCTATAAAATGCAACCCCCACCTCAGACAGAACTATTAGCTCTGAGAACAGCAGCTCGAGAGTTCAAAGCCACCCAGAGCCGTTCCTGCATCAAATGCTTTGTGGCGAGAGAAAGGCTGAGTGTCTCGACGCGCTCGAAACCAAAGAGAAGAATCTTTGCAGCGAGAAGACACCTCAGACTCCCTCTGTTCTCCCTCCGCCCCCTTTCCCCTCTACAGAAGCAGCAACCCATCTCACCAAAACAGTCCATCATAAAATGCTGGAGGAGAAGGCAAACCTCAAAAGGCTGCGAGTGCCGTGCACCTCAAACAGGCCGCGTTCGGCACCCCGTGCGAAGCCTCAAAGCTGCTGTAGCGACACCGCTGAGAATTCCCAGCAGCACAATGCAGGACGAGGGTAAGCACCACCCAGCCAGCCTGTTTCTGCAGCAGTCCCTCTTTCCCACAGTTCCAAATACCGTCGCTGTTTTTGCTAAAAAAGGCACAGAGATCTACGCGGGGGCAGCAGCGGCGGCTTCCTTCAGTGCAAGCCCTCGAGCTGCATTGCGGCATATTCGCTGTAAGTAACCTCTGCATCCTCCCGACTCATATTGCAGGCTTGAGCCGAAGCAGCAAGCCCGTGATATGCACTGTTGCGACTCCACCCAAACACCAGAGGCTTCGCTGCATTCGGCTTGCGCCTCCTGGCAGCTCCCCGACATCCGCAACGACTCCCCACATTGCTGCACGCCGGAGCGTTGCATGTGCTGTCCGTATGCCCCGCGCGATACTTGTCTAGCAGCTTAGGCAGAGACAGCTCGGAGATCCATCCATCTCCGACACACCGCTCGCACAAAACTCCACCGCCTTCCCAGCGGGGGACCCCCTCCGCACTCGCCCCTAGACGCGTGGTAGCGCCTCCTTCCGAGACAGCGGGTGTCACCTCCCCCCCCTGCACCTGTACCTCGTCGCCATCCCCGTAGGAGCACTCCCTGCGTTGCTCCAACACGCGTCGAAGCTCCTGCACAGCCTCGTCCTCTTCCAGAGCTGCTGGCGTGATCAAAGAAGCTCCCGCAGCCGCGGCGAATCCCCCGAGGGAGCTGCCCGACTGCTTCGCACCAGACGGCAGCGAGGAAGGCAGCGGCAGCAAGCGAACCTTGATGTGGGAAGACGTTCTGTCGTGAGCCACCAAACCAATAACGCCCCGATTCACAAGGATACTCAAAGCTCTCGTCACGAGATCCCACTCCTCTGAGCTAATTTCAAGCGCTCTCGCTGGTCCTGACGCAGAAGAAGAGGAAGACAGCACCTCGGGAGGCACAAGGAACCCCACTGGCTCGTGGTAGTCTGCGCTGCAAAAACGCATGCGCTGAGAGCAACAGGCACACTCCCCGCAGGTGCAGCAGCACTCGCAAGCAGCAGCTCCCTGGTTGCCCCCTACACCCCCTTCCCGCCAGCTGCTGCTGCTGCTGCTGCTGCAGGCAGCAGCAGCAGCAGCAGCACACCCGTTCCCACTGGCGCTATCCACCGCCTGCCCAAGCAGTCCGCTGCCGCAGCCGTTGCTGCTGCTGCTGCTACTACTGCTACTGCTGCTGCTGCTGCTGCTGCTGCTGCTAGTGCTGCTGCTGCTGCGGTGTGGCCCCCCCCCAACGGCCGACGCTGGGGCAGTGGCTCCTCCTACGACTTGCAGGCACCTCTCGAACGCTTGCTGTTCAAGAGAGTAGCTTTCTGCCATTTTGCGCCGAGACTTGTTGAGACTCCCGCTGCTACCTAAGCCACCATTGCGGCTGCCAGTATTTCTAGTTCTTCTTCCTGAAGGAAGTGCCCAGCTTTCCCGCAAGAGCGGCAGGGGGAGTTGCAAGTCATCCAGGAGCTGATGAAGACGCCGTCTCTCCCGCAAGCTGTTTTCCGCCTTGATTTGTCGCACATATGCCCTGAAGCGTCTGCGAACGCCTGTCGTTGCTGAGGCACCCTCGTTCCACGAAACTCCTTCCGAAGCCTCTCGGGAGGGGGCAGGGGTAGTCGTGGTGGCAGGGAGGAAGAGGCCCTCCGCCGTCTCCCCCGCTCTCTCTTCAGTCGTCGAGCTGCTCTCGGTGAGCGGCATGAGGCATCTCCGACACGTGCGAACCGTCTGCCACATGGCGCTGTCAATGCTGCCTGCGAGCTCCGAGTCTCCGCCTCTCTCCTCCTCCGCCTCAGCAAACGCCGCCGAAATTTCCCCCCCTCCGTCCGGAGGGGCCGTACTGCTGCTGAGTTCGCCTCTGCCTCCGCCTCCCCCCGGAGTGAGAACGGCGCTCCCCTTCGGCAAGCTCTGCAGTGCCTCTCCCTCGCGCATGGGGGCATCTTCATCTGACAGCTCGACTACCACCGACGCATCCTGCGGGGTGCGCTTCAGGGAAGGTCTCTGCTGCGTGTCGGTGAGAGGTGCCTCCAGGATCTTTTGAGCCGCAGCTGTGAGTCTCTGCTGCTTCTTCCTGGGCGGAGGGAGAGAGGATGCGCCGTGTGTTTCGCTCGACTGCGGAAGAAGGGGGGGGGGGAGGCAGCAGCTGCACCCCGAGAGAGTCGCATCGCAGTGACCACTCAGCAGCCGCTTGCGAGCCTTCGGCGAAGAAGCCACGGGGAGCGGCGAGAAGCCTGCAGCCGTTAACGACGCACGCGAGACACTGTCCAAGCGACTCCCCGCGTCTTCGGATGGAGCTGCTACGCGACTGCAGCGGCTGCAAGGCGTCGCAAAAGTGCTGCTCCCAACCCCGCTGCTGCCAGTGCAGGCGTCCCCCCTCCCCGTTCCGAAGGAAGACGCCAACGCAGACGCACTCGGATTGCGCAAAGGAGCAGCCAACAGAGGCGGAGGCACATCGCTCACCCCCAGCGGCCAGAACTGATCCGCAGAGCCGCCGTCGGATACGCTCCCCTCAACCCCAAAGCGACTGAACAGCTGCCGAGGATGCAAAAGCTGCTTCGCAGCAAACTCGAGGTGCTGGCAATTCAACTGTATGTGCCACCGATAACCCGGCAACAGAGCTGCATGCAACGAACTCCCCAAACCTTCAAACCCATCGACGCGAGCGCCAGCCTCGGAGACACTGCCCCCCGAGCTCGACTTTGTCGCTGGACTACCTGAAACTGGGCAAGCATACACAACCTGCCCCCCTGCAGAAACACAGACACAGTGGCGCTCGTGCACTTCGCAACTCAGGAGACAGCCTTGGGTGCGGCGCGCTCGCTCACGGGGGGAAAACAATTTAAAAAGCCACGCTGCACCAAGAAGGAGTCGCAACTCGCCATTTTCGATGTACCACACCACAGAAACGTGGCTGGCCACTGCCCCTCCTTCTCTCCCCAAAGGCGCGCACAAACGAACCCTTCCCCTCCTTCTCTCCCCAAAGGCGCGCACAAACAAACCCTTCCCCTTCCCCTTCTTCTCTCCCCCCTTCATCATCTGCCGCCCCTGCTGCATGCAGTGCTCTCTCCGCATACCGTAGGCTGGGCACTTGAGGTCGATCCCGTAAGCATCCGGCAGATCTACGCAGTTCGATTTGCCACACTTCGCTCTCAAGGCTTCTAGAGTCCAGTGCGCGCTCGGAGACAGAAAGACGAGAGGGCGAAGCTTCTCAGCAGACACTACTGCAACCCTCACAGTGCTCCGCAAAACAGCCGCTATATCGGACGGAGCTGGGGAACCTCCTAATGTCAGACGAGTGAAGGAACGAGGCGGCAAACCTAAGAACTCCACGCGGTACACGATTGCGCTGCCGTCCGAGCTTGGTGCTACCTGCAAAAAGCAGCATACACATTAGTAAACACACATACACACACTAGTATAGATACATATACAAACATACACACTAGCATGCATACATGCCTACACACATACACCAGTATATATACACACACACACACTAATATATACACATGCACACATACACTAGTGTATACATACATACATACACACGCACACTAGTATACATACATACACACATACACTAGTATATATACATACAAACATACACTAGTATATATACATACAAACATACACACACTAGTATATATACATACACACATACACTAGTATATGTACATACATACACACACTAGTATATGTACATACATACACATCCACGTACATATACACATATACAGATATATATGTGTACATCGCAGTTACGCTAAACTACACATATTTACATGCTTTCACCAAGAACCTTGTCCATTCTACATACACGTATGTACACAGAGCTTTATACATACAGAGAGAGGAGAAGGCGACAGACCGACAGATTCATAGACACACACATACAAACACACATAAATATACACATGCACACAGATATATATATATATACGAAGACGCACACTACAAAAGTGTCCCCTTGCACACACGAAGAGAAAGCTCGATGGGATCGGCAGCAAAAAGGTTCGCCACGTAGATCCGCTTGTGAACGCTTCAAAATGCTTTTTCCTACTACTTTGAGAGCTCGATGGTTTTTTTGATTCTAACAGGCGCAAATACGTCTGGCGTATATGGGCAGCAGCGTTTCAAAAGCGAAGCACGTGTGTATGTATGTGTGTATATGTGTATGTACATGTGTATATGTGTATGCATACATGTGTGTGTATGTATATGTGTATGTTTAAGTACATGCGTATGCATATGTATGTGTATGTATATGTGTATGTATATGTATATGTATATGGATATGGGTATGTATATCCGTATACATATATATGTGTATGCGTGTATATGCGAATGTTTGGACCTGTTGCACGACGCCAATGGAGGAGTAAAAAAAGCGCTTGTCCTCTTTCTTAGACGCCAAAACTTCCACCCACTGCCCTGGCCTTAGGCACTTGTTTCCGCGTTGTTGCTGTTGCTGTCGCCAGGCAGCAAAAGCAAACACGGCAGGTTCTACTCGAGCTGCCTCTACGCATGCATCGTAAGCGCCAAACGTGTCTGTGAGGGAGTTGGTGTGCACTCCTGTTCCCCCGAATATACCGGCAAGCCGAGCCGAAGAACGGCCTCCCACAGTGCCTCGCTGTGGCTGCTGAGAAAAAGACTTCCTCGATACAATCGCAGAAGCAGACTGCAAGGATATGCCGCGCGGCTGCGCTGCTCCACAACAGGTGTTGAGACACCCGGATGCCCCTGTCTCCTTGTCAGCATTCCCGGCTTCCCCCAAGGGCTGTTGCTGCTGTTGTTGCTGTTGCTGTTGCTGCTGTTGTTGCTGTTGCTGTTGCTGCTGCTGCTGTTGCTGCTGCTGCTGCTGCTGTTGCTGCTGTTGCTGTTGCTGTTGCTGCTGTTGCTGTTGCTGCTGTTGCTGCTGTTGCTGCTGTTGCTGTTGCTGCTGGGGGAGGCGAGTTGCCGCCGTCTGGCAGGCAAGCAGATCTTCCTCTACTGCCGCGAGGAAAGCGCCTAGTGAAATCCAGCGAATCAGACAGCGATCGCCAAGCCGCGCAACTAGCGAACCATACCTGAGGCGCACACGGCTCAGAAGTGGCAACTTTTGCAGAGAGAGAGAGAGAAAGCCCATGTGTCTCTGTCTGCAAGTTGTCAATCGTGACTCCTTCTGTCGCGGGAGCCTAGCCGCTTTCTCCTCGGCAGAGCTGCCCTGCCTTTTCTCCCCCCTTCTCCCCCTCCCCGCTTTCCCCGTATATTCCCGATGAAGGCGAGTCTCGAAAAACTCTCTTCTGCTGTCGGCGGGGAGGGGGCCTAACGCTGCCCCCTGCCCTCCCCAGATCGATCCTCCGCCTGCTTCCCCAACAGGCGCGTTGGAAAAGCACATCACGGAGGGAACGAAGCATCATGCATGCATACATATACATAAATAGACATATACATATGTACACAGCCAGACGCAGCGCTAAGCCTCCTGCCGCTTCGCATACCTGAAATGGGGGGCATGCGCTGGCGTGGCGACGGTATTATCCGTTGGAATCCCCCAGACGCGAACAACTGCACCATACGAACAAACACACATAGGCGAGCACGGCAGCAGCATGGGAAGGAAGAAGGAGGGGGAGGGGGTTGGAAGGCCGTTGAGAGAGCCACCATCGCGGTGCTGCAGGCACCACAGCTTGCTGCCTAGCCTTTTTGGGGGGAAGAAAAAGGGAGAAGACTCCCGCCCCAAACTCTTCTTCTGCAGAAGCCTTGACTCGGTGCTGCCCCCAACAGCAAGCCTTCCGCACCCCCCTGCCAGCAGCACCGAGAGTCGAGAGCTTGTGAAAGTGTCAAGGCAGATGCGCAGCAAGGCTGCCAAAATGCGGCAACAGCAGCAACGTCTCAACAAAAAAAGGTCCCCCTTTTCCCTCCCCTTCAGCGGCTGGCCTACGGGGCAAGCGCGCAAAGCCTCCTAATGCTGCATGCGACAGCGAAGAATCGGAAGCCTTGCATGCAGCTGCATCCCTCGGCAGGCACCCCGCTGCTCCTGCTGCTGCATTCGAGGCAACCATCGCGTCTAGCAGACAGTACAGCCAGAAGGTTTGCGTCATGTGCGGCTTCCACAAGTCCACCGCTGCAGCAGACGCGAGGCAGCAAGCAGCACGCAGCGCGCCAACAGCCCCTGAGGTCCTCAAGAAAATAGCCGCATGCATGCATGCATGCATGCACGCATGCAGTTGCTCTGGACAGCCCTCCCCAGTCTCCCCACGCATCTGCCCTTCGCCTCGCTCCCCCTTCCCCGCTGCCTCCACAGCCATCCGCCTAAGACGTCGAAGCTTTCTGCCTCCAAGCCTCTCTCCCCCAAGCCAAGCCTCATCATCTGTCAATTCCCTCTTCTCGATCAAGAAAGGCTACGAAACGCAACTCCGGAGGAGGCGTCGCGCCGACTCCAGCAGCCAAGCTGCTGCCTTCCCCGCCCCCAACTAACAAGTGCAGCAGCACAAACTGCTCGGTGAAAAACACCGCCGCAACTAGAAAACAAGAACCTCCCGCTCTCCCCACACACTGCAGCAACACAGTCCCCCAAATCCCCTACCCCTCCACCACTGCCCAGGCAGCCAGAGCCTCGCTCTCGCCACTCTCCCCCCTTGCTTCTTTCCTTCCCTTCCCTCGCTCTCGCCACTCTTTCCCTTGCTTCTTTCCTTCCCTTCCCTCGCTCTCCCCACCCCACTGACCCCACCGCATCGCATCGCGAACGTGCCTCCTGCGTGAGGTGCTACGCTACACACAGCCAGAACTTGTTTTTGCGAATACATGCACCGCCACGAAGAAACGAGAAAGAACGGCTGCAGCGCCGCGGCTACACAATCCAAGCCCAAAAAACAAATCTCAACGTACCCTGAAATGAAGGCGCATAGTCTCCAATCACCTTGCCCATGCGCCATGTAGACTTCGAAAGCTGCGACACCCGGCGAAGAAGCTGAGAAGAAGAGCAGAAAAGCCGAGTTCACAAGTGAACAAGACCTTCTAAGAGCCGTTTTCGCACGACAGCAGACGTCGCGAGACGTCTTGAGGAGCACACAATCCACAGCCTCACACTTCAGCCTCCAAGAGGCCACCCACGGGCCCTATCTCTGCCTTTGTCTGCCAGTCTGTCTGTCTGTCTGCTAGTCTGTCTGCTAGTCTGTCTGCTAGTCTGTCTGCTAGTCTGTCTGCTAGTCTGTCTCTCTCTCTCTCTCACTCTCCCTCTCTCCCTCCCTCCCTCTCCCTCTAACTCTCCCTCTCTCTCTCTCTCTCTCACCCTCTCCCTCCCTCTATCTCTCTCTCCCTCTCCTTCTACCTCTCTCTCTCACCCTCTCTCTCTCACTCCTCTCTCCCTCACCCTCTCCCTCCCCCTCACCCTTACAGGAAGAAGCGCTAGCAAGCGACCTTATCGACACGCTGGACGCCCACGCCTCGGCGTCCAGGTTGTTTTTTCTTTTGGTTTGTACTAGCTCACTTCCTCATCGAACGTTTCGCCAGGAACTACCGTGGTGAGCAGCTTCGACGAGGCACCGAGATCGAGCTGCCTCAGCCGCAAGCAGTGGCAGCGGTTCAGCACCCACACCAGGAATTGCCGAAGCTGCCGAAGACCACATTCTCTTGCCAAGAGGCACAGCACTCCACGCAAGAGGAGGCCTTTGAGCAGCTGGAAGCCATCCAGCAGTCCCCCCTTTCCAGACTCTCCCTGAGAAAAAGCCTCTCCCGGAGACAAGAATTCATTGCCTGAAAGGTTGACCTCTCGCAAGTCTGGGAGACGCTGCAGCTGCTGCAGCAGCAGCTGCAGCGCCGCCGGACGAAGCGGTTTGCTGCCGATTGCGTTGCAGTCCACGTGGTTGAGGTAAGAGCACCCGCCCAGTTCTTCGCAGACCGCAACGAACTGCTCCTCGGGCATCTCCGCGGCGCTCAGAGTGAACGAAGTGACTCGACGAATCTGCGAGACAGCGCGCATGATGGCTGCTGCCGAGGCTGCGGAAGGGAACAGAGGGTTGCGCAAAGAAACCTTCCCCACCGACACCTTCGTCCGCAAGTCTGACAGATGCTTTTCGAGCTGCTCAGGCCGCTGCCGTCCGTACAGCCAGAGGCTTTTGCTGTGCGCTCCACTAAACGCTTTGACAATCCAAGGGGCTTCCGAGTGGTCCACAGGAGCTCTGCTGTGCTGTACAGACACTTCTCCAGCACCGGTGCTGCCGACAGATCCGCCATCGCACCGAGGCGAAGACGCGGTCGCCTCCACGAGCTGCTCTTCGCCTCCGCTGCCGCTGGGGGGGCTGCGTGTGCTGCTGCTGCTGGTGCTGCTGCTGCTGCCGGTACTGCTGCTGCTGCTGGTGCTGCTGCTGCTGCTCGTGGTGGCAGTAGTGGTGTCATCGCGGGGACCCCTGCTGCTGCTGCCCGCAGCAGTCTGTGGCGCTCCTGAGGCGAAAAAGGGAGGGGGAGAAGCGCCTTCATCCTCGTCGTCCTCTACCGTAATGACTTCTTGTGTTTGCGGGGGGAACGTTGAGCGCTGCTCTTTCTGCGTGGCTTTGTTGCCGGGCGGTTCACGAGATCGGTGGACTCCTGGCGAGCCTGGCAGTGCAAATCCACCTCGCGCATCCGACTCGTCCTGACTGCGAGTCTGCAAAGGAGGATACAGCAGGGGGTTGCACAGGCGCCCCCGACTTACTGGCCTTTGAAACGGCGCCACAGCAGGCTGAGAGGGAGCAGGAGTAGCACCTGCAGCCGCCGCTACGTCAACCGAGTAGAGAGAGCGCTTCATCTTCGCCCTGTATGGCTTACCCCGCACTGAAGACTCCCCTAGACCCTCCAGCCGCTCCTACCCTGCAGGGGATGAGTGTAGCAGACGCCGGAGAAGGGGTAGCTTAGGGGCCCTCACACCCTCCTACTGGTCGCACTGCTGCTCCCATTGAAGCGAGCAGCGCGAAAGACGAGCTGTGGCTAAGAGAAAAAGAAAAAGCAGATATTCGCCGAGTTCCCAGGACGTAGCCTCCTCCCGCGCATGCGACGATCGGCTGCCGCGAGGAGGCCGTGCCCTAAATGGCAACCGTCTTCGCAAAAATAATAAATAATATTGTCGGGTGTGTATTCCAAGTGTGCAGAGGCTGCAATCCTGTGTGTGTGTGCGCGCGAGGGCCCCATGACACTCTAAGAGAGACGGAATTCTCCAGCGCGCGCGCTCCTGCAGACTGGACGCATGTAAGGAAGCCTACCGACGAAGCCAGAGGCCTAAAGGGCCCCCAGAAAAAAGGCTTTTGTAAAGCGATGTAGATATATATATATCTCCTTTTATAATAAAATTCTAGGTGTACCGGAATACGCAGAACCATACACTAGAGCTGATAAGGCCAGCGTTAGAAAATTGTATCCTGCAATACTTCAGTATCCCCCGGTGTCGCTACCTCGCCCTTACGCGCGACGAGAGACACACTCATATGCGCATAGTAGTATGTGCCTCCGCGATCCAAAGCAATTCAAAGAGCTCCTCAGGTGCCGCGGGGTGTGAATTTGCTGCGAATGCTACACCGAGTATCGGATTGTTTCGCGGTGCCCATACTTGGGATTACAAGGGCATCAACCAAACCCGTCTTGGAACGAGACAGCCGAAAATCTATTTGCTGCAAGCACCATGATGTGTGCTGCAGCCCATCCTCCCACAGCCCGTGAAGGAATCCCACGTGAGCACGCAAAATCCCTGCACGCTTCCTCTTTGTTCCTCTCTACCCCTGCTTTGGTGAACCCGGTCTCGATGTGACGCTACAGTTTCACTTTCATTCCTGGCCGCGTTTCGTTACAGTACTAAGAGAAAACATTCAAAGTTGAAGGCCTCTTAAGCGGGCGGCTAGCGAAACATGCCCACTCCAGAATCGTTTCAGACTGTGTGCTCCTCCCCCCCTCAGGCAACTCATCTCCCATCCCTCTTCTGTATCTCAGCTGGTTGCCGTCACTTTACCTTGGACGCATTCCATCGTTTCTGCAGCAAATCACGATGCCTTAGCTCCCTTGGATCTCCCAAGGCGCAACCGTATGCAAGGGGCCATGCTACACTTAGCACTTGGCCGAGAATACAAAACTACCTCGCTTGGCCGTACAACTTACTTATTGAACAGCACTGCCTAATCAAAACAAAACGACACAGTGGTGTGCAGTGTGTGTATTACGTGATTTTCGCAAGTGACCGTGAATGCTCGCAGAGCCTAGAGGGTACAGCTACGTTGAGACTAGCTGCACCCCGCCCCTCATATCGGAAAACTGGAGGCTGAGGGCAGGGAAGGAGAAGAGTTATTTTGCAACATAAACGATAGCTAGATAAAATTTGTAAGAAGTCTGGATTTGAGTGTCTTCCTATGGAGACGTTCGCTGGAGCGCTCCAGCTGGTGATACCGCATGGATTGATGTAGCTGTTCCACACTCATTCACCAGCTGTGGATGCAGAGGAGTTTCAGGTTTCCCTACTTGAGTGTCTGGTCTCAATAAAGTCATTTGGTTATTCACTTATTGGGTTTTGTTTGACATCAAACTGGGGAGAGGTCCGTATGCCTTCGAAGTTGAAGGAGCCACAAAGACTGCTGGGGCGGCAAGGGGTGGCCTGCAAGCTGATGTGAGCGCAGTATTTCCATAGCTGGAAGAATGTCATGAAATGCCAGCCGGTTGAATATATGGATGCATGCACCAGGCTATACCAACCAGAGAAATATAACGGCCATACGAGCGGAGAAGTACCCGAAGATTTCATTTAATGCCTCTTCAATGACCTCGCTTTTGTACCCCCTCCTCCGCTGGAAGCAGGAAGACAGATCCACTTTGCAGCATATTCACTGTAGTAAGAGGCACTTCTGTGGCGTGAACACGGAGGAAGCCACCTGCTTGCATAGAGTACTACGCTTCAAGCCTTCATATAGGCCCTGATTCATCAGTTGATGCTGAGATTAGGTTAACAGCAAACGTAAGGAGAGACCCGAAAGCTCACGCCGGGAAGATTTATTAAGAAGCACGTTAAGAAGTGTGAACATACGGTCTGTAAAAGCACAACGTACAAAAACAGCTGCTTCTTTGATAATTTTTCTAGCGTCCACCTAAAATGTAATGTTAGGTGGGACCAAGCGAGAGAAACCACCTGGCCTGTGGGGCATCCCCAAATGATGAACTTGTAAAGGCTCCACGAACAAAGGAGATCAATTCCTGCGTCTTTGGATAAAACGGAAGAGCCCTGTTGGAACTAAGAATTGATGGATGCGAGGGCTGTCAGCCGGCCTTAGCCTATGGTGTGTGGTGGACGAGAAAAAACAGCCAGAGAGAATTCGCACTTCGAAGCAGCCCTAGGATAGAAAGCCGGAGCTCTTTAGTGCGTTCTGGCGCCCCCCATAGGACCAGCCTACACATTGACGACAACATGATCACTGCGAACCATCCTGAGGAACCTGGACAGACTGCACCAACAGCACACTTTTGCAGTATTTGCGACCCTGTGCTCACAAATAACTCTACTTGCTAGGCTGGAGGCTTTTCTATATGCTGAACTGGCATATAGGGGGACAGTCCACTTGGTTACCTGCTTTTCTACCACATCCCTGCTCTACACGGGGAAGGAACCAATTTACGATTTGGGCTTAGACCTGGTGTTCCGGACTCAGCAGCGACCTTTATCGGGGAGAGATCTATACAGCTGCCGGCTTGTGCACGCAAATGTATGCACAGCACTAAAGTAGAGAGAGAGAAGCACGCAATTGTGGTAAACTGCAGTCGGCTCTTTGGTTCGAGGTCCTGGCAGATTGGCAGGCTTCATGAGGTGCACCGGGTGACCAGACGAAGCACTCTACCGTCCAACATCGTACAAGCTGCACCCAAAACTATCAGTATTGGCGGCCTACAGAAGCTTTAAAACCTTTTGAGTTACTAAATGACTTCGCTGTGTAGCCAAATGACATACGCAGAGGATCCACAGGAAGCCGTACAAGTGCTGGAATTTAGGGAAAGGGAATTTCATCGAAACATTAAATGGGAGTTCCTAGTGATATGGGTTGGAAGTGCTCGCCGCACTGGCTGTGCAAATAGTTATTGTGGCTTTTGTTGCCTCTGGGAGACTTTGTTGTCCTGTCTGAGAGACAATGCGAGTCTCCATGGACGCCATTCCTCACTCTCCTTGGTAGTCGTCCTCCCACAGCTCGTTCTCTGCCTGAAACGGCTGCCTTTAGCTGTGGGTATTGTGTGGATCGTTTCTGGCTACTATTTTCCAGGTGTTGTCCAGCCCTCGAATTCTCCGTAGGTACTCTTAGGTGTATTTCTCGTGCATTCTTCCGTAAGACGTTTTCGGGGCTTTGGAAACGACTGCGCTGCATGCAATTGCATGCATAAGTTGCTTAATGAGCCGCGGAAGCAATGCTGAACTACTTCGTTTGATTTCCTTCATACCCGTGATAATCTTGTGGTTTCTCGTATCAGGAGGCTGACCCATTTCGGCGCTCCGACGACAGCGAGCCGTCGAGCAACCATACTCGCGTTGCCTCGGTCCCTGGTTCGTTGTTGGCTAGTGTGTACTCCTTTCTTTTCGTCGCGCTTCCTTAGTCGGTCGATTTGCACATCTGATTATCTTAGTTGCATTGCTTTCCTGCTTCTGAAAACCTGGAGGGTGGTGATAGCGTGGTTTCTTGTGCCCTGCACGCAGTTGGTCTCGATGTAAAGGTACGAAAGAAGAGGGCATGCGTTTTGAAATGAGTGGCAAAGAGGTAGCTAGGTAATCTGTACTTAACGATACTCTACTACATTAGAAATACTTAGCTTGGAGTTTGTAAGGAATTGACAATTTTGTTTTTCTGTTTGTACATCAAGCTTATTGCGGAGGAGCGTTCGCTTGTTTTAAGACGATGCAGTGTTGTGTGCGTGGGCGCCGGATGCTTTGTGCGACCAACTCTGAATGTTTTGTGTTCCTAGAGGGTGCCGCATTGCGAAATCGAGCTGCGCTTCTTTCCTTATGTGGGAAACCGTGAAGAGGCGGGCAGGGGACGGAGAGAGTTCTTAGGTGACACATCTATTAACTACTTATTAGGGTTTCATTGACTCTAGAGTTGGGTGTGTCCCTACGGAGACCTTGCACTGAGCACTAGAAGGTAAAACTCTAAGCAGCCTACCAAATCCCTTATTGTTTACCCATTTTTATGGCCATCATACTTCCTGGGTCGGTATGACACTCATGGCTGCATCCAGAGATATTTTGCCAGCAAACCTATCATGACATTCTTCCAGCTATGGAAATACTGCGCTCACATCAGCTTGCAGGCCACCCCTTGCCGCCCCAGCAGTCTTTGTGGCTCCTTCAACTTCGAAGGCATACGGACCTCTCCCCAGTTTGATGTCAAACAAAACCCAATCATTGAATAACCAAATGACTTTATTCAGACCAGACACCTAAGTAGGGAAATCTGAAACTCCACTGCATCCACAGCTAGTGAATGAGTGTGGAACAGCTGCATCAATCCATGCGGTGTCACCAGCTGGAGCGCTCCAGCGAACGTCTCCGTAGGAAGACACTCAAATCCAGACTTCTCACAAATTTTATCTATCTATTGGTTGTGTTGCAAAATAACTCTCCTCCTTCCCTGCCAGCAGCCTCCATACTCTCGACAAGAGGGGAGAAGCACAGCTAGGTTCCGCATGCTGTACCCTCTAGGCTCTTCGAGCATACACAGTCAGTTGCATAAAGCACGTGGCGCACGCATGCACAACCCTACGTATGTTTGTATTGCTTAGGTAGTACTGTGCAGTAAGCAAGATACGCGAAGGGGGGAAAAATAGTGAATTCTATCCGAGGTCTTCGCAAGATATAACTGGTGCAGTAGAAGGTGCCCAAGTGTAGCTTGGCCCGGTACAGTGGCAGCTATGGAGCAGAAGATTTATTGAATAGTTATGAGGCATTCCAGATGCAAGTATGACTGATACCGGATTTAAAAGATGATATTCGTGATGAAACAGAAGGCTCATGTTGCCAAAAACCGTTACACCACGTCATTCTCTGCAAGTGATTAAGACATTGGTACGCTTCGCCGTGCGCCTCTGTTAAAGAGCATTGTGGCGTGCGTTACAAAGAGCCAATCTGATTAACGCCGAAGAGCTCCACTTGTGGCTAACTATGTTTTCGAGCATACTTCCTGCCTTCTGTATGATGCTCTTGCTGAATTCGGCGACTCACCCCGCTTGGAGAACAACCACCCCCCCTTCCCCCCTGCATGCAAAACCGTGCGGCAGCAGCAGCCTTCGCTTGATCCTTCTAGAATAGTGGTCTCTTGTCCCTTGATGGCGCGTCGCTGAAAGGGAAAAGCCTTTGCTTCGCGGTGATGTAACTTGTTTATTGCAACACGTAGTACAGTGGGCGTCACCTCACACCTGGGCATGCAGCCCGGCCGGTCACTGCGGCTCTCGATGCTGCCAAAAGGGTATTCGTTCCTCTGAAGGAAGCAATTCAAGCAAACAGCGTTACCTGCGATATTTTATTGAGCGAAAATGGCGCAAGCGGGGCCGCCCGCCACCCCTAGTGGCCCTGTGGTTTCTGTGGCGAACATCCGCGGTCTGGGAAGGAGTGACCCAGTGGGTGTTTGCATTTATTTTCTAATGTTTTCGCCATTCTCCTGCTCTTGCTAGCATGTTCTGCTTTTTGCTTGCTTCCCGATAGCAGATGGCCTCTGGCGCCGTCATGCGAAGTTGTGGCGCGGTGTATGTCCGGTTCGCGCAGGGGCTCTTCAAGATGAGCGGGGAAGTTTTCGGCTGGAAGAACCGGAGAAACGGAAAGGTGTACCAGTATAAAAGCGCGGATATCGCGGATGCTCAGTGGATACACTGCGGGGCAGACCAGTATCAGCTCAAGATTGTGCTGGGGGCGCAAAGAAACGACAGTATCATCCGGTTCGATGGCTTTCACAAAAAGGTGGGGTTTGTCGTCCTTGGGGAATTTAGAGGTTGCGTGACGCTAGAGGGGCTCACGGCTGTCTCAAGAGCCACCCCAGCACCAGCTTCTCGTATGATCCGCTGCCTCGCAATCTCCCCCAAGCCTTGCATCCCCACATCCGCATCCGTCCCTCTCTGCATGCTCCGCTGGGCATGCTTGTGCGAGACAGCCAAGCAACGCCTGTACGCCACAGCAACTTGCACGCAGCCCGTCAAACAATGCATGCATGCGCGGTTTGAGTTACAGAACTTCGACGATATCCGGCGGCACTTCCAGGACCAGTTCAAACTTCCTCTCCATACCAAGAATGTTGCGCACTTAGGATGGCATTGGGGGGACGTTTCGATGGATGGTTCGTGGGCAAAATGTTTTTCGCGTCCCCTGTGCTGCGAGCCCCCTACGCCACGCACCCGATCCCTCATTCTGTGTCAAGAATGCACCACTCCGTGCGCGTGTGAGGCCAGCCAGCCTGTCTCACGCTTTCCCTCAGCGCTGCCCTCCAAAACTGCGCTTGTGCCGGTGCATGCTCAGGGAACAACTTAAAGGTTTCTGTGGAGGGCTGCCCAGCGTTCGAGGTGAATGCCCAAGACATCGTACAGGTGACGACGCCTTCCAAGAACGACTTGGCAATTGAGCTCTTACAAGACGACACGCGGTTGGTCTTGCTCTTTTTGCATCCACAAACGCGCGACAGGACGACACGGGGCATATCCCTGGGATGGGGTGTCAGATGTGCTGCTTTTGCAACGCGTCGGATGCTTCGCTAGCTGCCTTTTCCTGCCCTGACGTTTTTACTTCTCTGCGCAGGGATCAAGCCGAAGATCTGCTTCTTGAGATTCGGCTGTTTCAACCGGCAACAGGCGACGAAGAGACAAACAGCCATCTTCAGAGTCTAAAGGAGGCGAGCGCCACTTCTTTTCGATTGTTCTGCTCGCTTCTTCCCGAATGTGCTGTCTTTTCTGTATGCGCGCGCAATTGACGTGTGGCTGCACGCAGCTACGGGGGAGCGTTCGAGGGCCTTTGGCGGCTCCAAGGGAAGAAAAGCATCCTATCGCTCCCCCTTTTCGCATGCTGCTCTCGGTGCGTCCTGTGGTGGTGCTTCGGTATGCTTCTCAGAAGCTCGTGAAGAAGAGCGGCGTGGCTGAGACGAAGATGGAGAGCATCGCCCTTCTGAACGACGTGCCTTTGCTGGTTCCTAGAGGCCGCTATGAAATCGACATTGGTCGTCGCGCCCTCAAATTCCACGGCAAGTCTTACGACTACACGATCTTGTACACCAACATCAACAGGTATGGCGCTTGCTGACTGCATGTTTGAAACCTTTGTCCTTAGACGTCTGTCGTTTGAGCTAGCCTGGAGTTAGCTCGCTCGAAAATATGCCTGCACAGCTGCGTGGCTGCGTCTTGCCGTGAGGCCATTCCGGCGCGCCCCCAGCACCCTTGCCTTGTATTCGTCTCTCCGCTAAACACGCAACAACCACCTCCCACCACGACCACCACCTTCTTCTGCTTCTCCTTCTCCTGTTGCGTTCCAACTTCAGGATGTTCCTGGTGCCGCGGCCGAACTCGCCACACGTCAATTTCATCCTCTCTCTAGACAACGCCATGCGCCAAGGGCAGACTTCCTACCCCTTCGTCGTCCTACAATTCGATAGCGAAAACGTCACCTCCGTGGAGGTGAACCTTGAGGAAGCCGAGCTTAAAGAGAAGGGTCTGGAGAAGCAACTGGAAGGTGCTGTTTTTTTCCACTGTGAACCCCCTCCCCTATCATCGCCATGGCTGCGTTTACGCAGGCCTCTCTTTCACGTTATGTGAACTGCTCGCCACGTACTGCATGCTGCTCACTGACTCAACACTCATGCACTCACATGCATGGCGGGAAAAAAAAATGGCCCCTTCCGCTCAGTGGTCGCCAACCCCCTCCCGCCCCCCCGCTGCCAAACTGCTCATGCATCCTTCGATGATGCCTTCTTCTCCTCTTTTAGTCCACCCACCCTTCCCCCTCTACTGACTCCCTCCTCTCTCCTGCACCTCAGTCTGGTCCTGGCTTTCCTTGCGTCTTTGTCTGTGCACTAATTTCTCGATCGACGACTGCCCCTCCATGCGAGACTCTTCTTCACGCCACTCGGTGGCTGCTGCTGGGATCACGGAGCTCCCGCAAGTTCCAGCCTCTGTTGATGTTGCTTTTGCACGCTTGCGTGTTGTTGCAGGAAAAACCTTTGACGTTATCACGCGCATCCTCAAGTCTTTAATTGGGAAGAACGTAATTGTGCCTGGCGACTTCAAGAGCGTGAAGCATCAGTATGGCATCACTTGCAGCTACAGGGCGCAAAGCGGCCATTTGTATCCCCTCAATCGCTCCTTCCTCTTCATTGTCAAGCCTGTAATCTTCGTCCGGTACGTCTGCCCGTACTCCCGCCTCCCTGCCCTTCCCTAGCAGCCAGTATTCTTCTGCTCAATTAGTCCCCTGTAGACGCCTCGCCTCGCCTCCTTAGTCTCAGAAGAGGCGCCGCTCTGCAGGGAAGGTGCCCCGAAACTTTCTTTCTTTTGCGCAGATTCGAAGATGTGGTGAGCGTCGAATTTAGCCGCACCGGAGCCAGCACGACCAACCGCTTCTTTGCCTTTACGGTCTCATGTCGTGGAGGTGTCGAACACGAGTTCACGTCCATCGACCGCAACGAATACGAAGTGAGTGTCGGGCTGTCGTCTGGCACCCTCGTCCCCCCTGTGCTGCTTCAGAAAAGCGGCTGCTTGTGCTGCCCCTGCTCAGCAGGAGGGAGCATCTCTGCGTGCCGAGCAGTCTTTGCCACCTGCTCCTTGCACTCGCCGCAGCTTGTTTTCCGGTAGACACGTGCCCGTCCTTGTTCTTGCCGAGCTCTCGACACCTTGTGCGCCACGCCAGGCTGACGTTGTGGCTAGCTTTCTTGTGCGCACAGCCTCTGGTTGAATTTCTCACCCAAAAGGGAATTCGCATAAAGAACGTCGAGAAGTCAAACGCGGCGAGGACGAGCGGTCTGCAAGAGGCAGAGCTACCCACTGATGAGGACGATGACGACTATGGAGGAGAGTCAGATACAGGTGCGCTAGGCATTCAACAAGGGGACTTTCAAACTGTAGCAACGCGTGGCACAAAGGGTTCTTCAAGATATGATCTGCTGCACAAGGCAATCAGGCCTCTCAACTCTAGAAGACGCATTGGAGCAATGTTGCCTGGAACTCGTGCTTTTGCTTGGCACAAGCAAATTTTAAGATGGTTTTGAGCTGCGGTGGAACCTATGTACTTGCTGCACGAAAGCGGCAGCTGTCAGTGCTAGTTGCGCACGTTGCCTTCGCACTGCATCCCACTGTTCCGTCTACGAAGATCCCAAGTTACTGGCCTAGGTTCTATGCTTTCCCTATAGAAGAGTCAGTACTGAGCTTTAGGCTTTCCGCCTTGGCATATAGGGTTCCTGGCGGAGCTCCTTTCGTGGTCTTGCAGATGAAGACTTTGAAGACGAAGAGGACGATGACGAAAGCGAAGAGAGTGCAAGCGAATCGAATGAGGAGGAGGACGGCGAGAAGGACAAAAAAAGGAAAAGCCACAAGGTGGGTGGGCCCCGTAGGCTCTGAATACAGATCCTTGTGTTTAGCCTAGACCGTCGTGAGGTAGGAAGAGACGTTTGGCCGACTTGAGGAGCTTCTTACTTGCGCGCGGGGCAGTGAGCGGCGATAGCTTCGGGTGCTCGATTGGTTAATGCAGCGTAGCGCTATAACCTACGGAAAGATTGGAGAGGGATCGATGGGGGAGACTGGGAAGAGGGGCTTCACGGAGAAGCAATCGCGCTGCGTGGTTTCTTTTGTCCGGTTTCTGCTGTTACTGGGCGACTGGATGTTTGAGTTAGACCCGCTGGTGTGCATCCACAGAAGGTAGAGGCCCCGCATCTCGGTGCGTTCTCCTGTGTATGTGTGTGTGTTGGAACAGGAAAGCAAGAAAGAAAAAAAGAAGCATAAGAAGTGATGTCGCTCTGCTATTTAGTGACAGGGCCTCGCTATGGGTGGCATGGCTGCTGCTCTGCTTTTTTGATTGCGGGCAGCACGACAAGAAAACTTCTTGTGCCGTTTTCGCTAGGGTCTACAGTGCAATCACTGTAGACCCTAGATCACCTGTTTGTGGCGGCAGAGTTCCGAAATGTCTCTGCAAAGAAGGTGGATGTAGTTGGCAGCCAAGCTTAGGATGGGCAGCCCCTAGATCTATGGTGGCAGTGGGCTCTGAATTTCTAAGCCTGAGGGCAGGGTTTGCCGTTGGCTTATATCCCTATGGATCTTTCTTTTCTTCACAATGCCCGTGCATAACTCTTGGTGCCTACTACCTGATAAAGCGCGCACGTTGAAGCTTCAAGTTTTTCGGCTAGAGACGTGTACAAATAGCAAGAGTACTAATGTTTCCAAATGCTAGTAAAAGCCTCCCTCCAAACGGGATATTATCAGTAGTGTTTTCGCCGTTGTTACAACTGCCTACTGCGATCTAAGCAAAGCCAAGAGCATTAGGCGAGAGTACTAACGCACTCCGGCTTAATACAGTCTACATGTTTATGCCTCCGCGTAATTCTGCGAGACGACTGTGCTTGAAATAGCAAACGAGGCCCGCGTGGGAAGGCAAAACGTTTTTCAAGAAGGTCGGCGTGGGGGAGGATGCTGTGAGAGGAAGATCTATGCGTATAAGGGGAACTCTACGCGCTGTGCTTCCAGCCCGACACCCATATAAAGGGAAACTTGGAACGCAGGTCCACCACTGAGTCGTGGCTCTAGCACTGAAGATTAAGCAGCAGATAGAAGTCAAACAAACAGTGTGGCTCCTGATGGCTGCAAGGAAGGTAGCTGAGAACGCGAGGTACCCGCATACAAGACTCAGGATGAGAAGCTTTTGGCGTATTACAACCGAGATTTGAAGTGTTTCCTTTGATTTTCTTCGAAAATTCTCTACCTTAGATAAGCCAATAAAGGTCTGCACAACACAAACCAACGTAAAGCAAACAGATCAACAAGGAGCATGGCAGAAAGAGCAGCCAATTATAAATCGGATCGTCTTCAAGTCTCCTTATAAACCGCCATCCAGCTCCCTTTCGGAATCATGCTCTTGATAGCCTGACCGCCACCCCTTTATCCATTTTTGTGTCGGCTATTGTGCACACAATCCCCTCCCCTCACGCTGGAGAGCACTCTCACGATTCCAAGATGCTTTTAGAAAGAACTGGACCCCGGAGCTTCCAGAGCCATCTTCATTTGGATATTGGCCTCAGTAAAGATCGTTCAGTGATGAAACAGCGGATAGCCTGCATCGATTAGTTTCGAGGTGATGTTGTTCAGGACGAATGTAGCGGATATGTAAATACACGGTGGATTTTGTTGCGGAATTCCTCTGCGTGTGCAGTGTTACGACTCCGGCGATATGTGCCACGTTAGTGCTTCAAAAGGGTCTGATGGTGATGCTAGCAATAGAATTTGGTTTGCTGCTTGTGTAATCTTGAGCGTCGTTCCGGGCTTAAATAGGACATCACACTTCAAACTCCACCTGCTCAGTATTCGCCATCCCTGGAAGTTCGCTCGGCTGTTGAGTCAAGGGGAAGGCATAGAGAGCAGCTGGGTGGCACAAACATGCTACAGCCCCTTCCAAAAGGGCAACCCTGAATAGCGTCTTGAACAGGCTTTAAAAACCTACTTTCTCGCTTAAAACTCCTCGAGGTGTACGGCGGGCAAGGAATTACGACTACTCTACTTCGTGGCGGCAAGCAATGTAGCTCGTTCTCCCCTTTTCAAACGGTTTATTCACCTTCAATCTAGTGATCCTTTAGCAACTAGTTTGTGTACAATTTCGGGGATACGCATCAAATGCTTTACCCTGTTCATCCTGAGGCTGCATGTTAGCTGTAGCACTCAGGCTTTATCATATGCGAATAGCTTTTGCACCTGCAGTAGACTCCGGCGTTTGCGCGTACTGATGTAAGAGACAACAGGATGATTTTTCTCCAAAGATACTCTACTTTATCTACCAATGATTTGGGCTCATTTTATTGTGCAATATCCGAACAACAAAGGATGCAGCTACTCAGGGCTCGCGTGTCGATGTAGTACCGTGCAAACGGACATGCAGGCAAAAAGCAACTTGTAATTCCGAAACAGTCAGCTGCGTTTAAAGCCTAGCAGCGCCTTCCTTTTGGTTCTGCCTCCTTGTGCTCTTTGCCCGACGCGCCTTTGAACGGGCAAAGGCACCTTATAGGCTTCTCTTTGTCCGTAGCGCTCGGCCAAGCTGGCACCCCGAACATGCATACCGCTGTACTTCCACCGATTCTGTATGAACGGTTCCAATAAGCAGTTCAGCAGCTGTGCACGCTTCCAGAGGATATTCTTTTTATTACAAGCAGTTGCTGATCTTGATGCCTACCCGTTAAGCGCTTGCGGCTGGACAGCGATACAGCATCTAGTGATGCAGGTTCGGCTGCAATTAAAATGGAATAGCGCTCATTCTGACGTCGAAATCAAGAGCGAAGTCTCTCCACGCCCAGAGCAAGAAAAATTTGTTTGGGAGGAGCTGCTGCCCATGCACCGGATCTTCCAGAACCTATATACGCAATCGACCAGCGGGCTTTAAATGCATGTGGTTGTGGAGGGAGCTTGTATTTATTCATCAGTGCTGCACATATATACGTCTGTGAAGCTGCTAGACCGTTTCACGCATTTGTAAGCATGCAGGAGCCTATATATTTGCGCAGATGGTCTTCTCTGTAGAGTTGCATCCAGATATGTGCAGCAAGACCCTGCATGCTACCAGGCCCATGTGACTGCAAATTCAAGCTTTCTCGAACAATGGGTAGCATCATACCCAAGAGGGCTGAGCATTTAGCGCAAATGAGCATCTGCACCGAGCAACTGCCAGAATTTGCGTCTCGATTTGCACGTCCTTCTCCACTTACCTCCACGCAAGAATCCAAAATGAGGTTGTTCACCAACGTGGTGTACACGCGAGGTACAAGGGGCCGAGGTAGATCCTACGAAACGCAAGCAAGCCCATCCTCTGAAATGATGATGATGGCGGTACCCAGGGGTGCAACGCAGACAGCGGCAACCCAGCGTCTCAGAAGGAGGAAGCAAAACACTGCCACTGCGGAGGCGGAAAATTTATGCGGGACCTATGGAAAACCGGAGGGTGAAGAAGTTTAGTAGCTTTGTAGATTTGCATTTATTCGTCTGCGCTCATTTCTATAGGCTTTCCGGAACGCACTCTGGGAACGCAGTATGCTTTCTCCGTGAGGTACCTATAGAGCAAGCAGTATGCCGATTGTAAACACAGGCGCAAATTAACTGAGACCCCAAACAAGAAGGAGGAAGTAGTTCGGTGGTTCACGTGAGAGGCGCGTATCAACCAGTGGGCCCTGAAAACTGCCGATGGGCATGTAACAGCGAAGAGCTTTGCCTCAGGCCTCTAAGCGAAAAACGGCTAGCCCTCGAACGAATATGTGCCCAGGCATTACGGATTCCGTACGGATACAAGTAGGAGCACATGCTCGCTGAGGCTGAATCCCACCAGCCATGGCCATTTGAACAAATCTCGCTACCTGAGCGTACAGAAGGGTATAAGGCCTGCTGCCCGCCACTCAGTAGAGGGCATAACGTGCTCGCTGCGTGGCTCTATCGCATACCACTTCACTAAATCTGCGGCTTTCGTCGGCGTTGGGGCGTTGGCCTGCAAGAGGAGGCCTGCAAAAAAGGCAAAGTGACGGTACGCCTCGTAGCCGATGCTGTAATCCTGCTGCTTTTTCTGCAGTCGCATCACGCCAGTAGAAACAAACACGCAGAAGTGTCGGCAGGTCTTCGGCAAATGGCATGTGGAGGTCAATGGGCGCTGTGCGGTCGGCCGTTTGCCAAGCACTGAAATAGACAACCCCGCATACGGTGCAAAATAGACACTGAGAGCAGCAACTTTTGTGAATGAAGCTGAGGCTACGCCTGCGAGGGCCCCCTAAGTCCTGCCCTCTCCGTGGCTGACGCTTTTGCGCTATTGGTTTTCGAGTGTCTACGCACCTCGTGGCCTGAAGCCACTTGCACCAAGGCGGCCGCCTTCTCCTTTGCCAGCTTCTTGAGACCCTGCATTTCCCTAGGGCTTCCCTATAGTAAAGCGTTACGATGAAACGCCTGTCTTACACCTACGCATAACCTGCAACGTGCCCCCCATAGGGCTTTTGCGTAGGAAGTGGACGAGGCGCCACGCAAAAGGAGAGGTAGAGAAGCACGAATCGATATGTGTACGGAGCTTTAGAGAGCGAGAAGAGGCACAGGAAAAGAAAGACAAGGAGTGTGTCATCCGGCAAAGCTGACCAACAACTCCTTCCAGGTCTTGCTACCACGGACCCTCCTCACTTATAACAGAGCATATGCCATTTTTAAATCATTCCCTCGAATTCTTGCCAGAGATTTCAATGTGTTCTAAGCGCCTCCAACACGGCTTCAGCGTGAGGGCTTCGGAGGAGGGCCCCTAGACGGCCGTCGAACGGTGGCGTGGGTGTTACTGCAGCAGCGAAGGCTGAAGCGTTGAAAAGATGCAGGACCATGGTGACCAGGGCCCGGTATTTCGTTTTTCATTCTCTTCTTTAGTAGAGATACGAAGATATGTCGGTTTAACACCTTATTGCTGGAGTTGCTGCTTGAGTGCACTAGCCGCAAGGCATAAACCTGCTGCGGTGTCTTCAATACGTGCTGCCGCCCCACAGGTAACTAGCGTTTTTACCTTCTGCTTTATAGCGATATGCCAGAACACAGAAGGAAAGTATAACGCTTTAGCAAATTTGTTTCCTGTCTCTTCAAATGCGTAACCCTTCCTCCATTCCGGTCTACTGCTGACTCGATACCATAGATTGGGAGTCTGCATAACACAAATTAATATTTGTTATCTTCAGCATCTCAGCTCCTTAAGCCTCCTCCTTCGATGCTAGGTGTGCATATGACCCTCTGCAGTGGCGTTAATGGCAATGGAATGTAGACAGACCGCTCAACAATCGCAATGGAGACAAATAAAGGAGCCATGTAAGGTATGCACTGTTTGTCTCCTGTTTCCCTCCGTTTAAATGCCATGCAGAAACTCCCACTGACTAACTTGTTGATACAATCAGCTTCGCTTCGAGAGTTGTCATGTGTGTAACGACAGTGCAACCCACAGGTGCCTCCACCTGGCTCCTCGCCGCAGCATTATAAGTTTCTTCCAAGCTGCTGTGCTCCGAATTCATGTGCTTTGACGTCTTCCCAATGATGGTTGCCGTACCAGCTCCGTTGATTGTGCTATCTATTTGCATACACTTCGCGCCGCCTAGTCACGCCATCCTTAAGGCACTTTTTGTAGTGTAGTGTAGGAAGCCGGTGCACATTTTTCAGAGCTGCTTCGGGTCGCTGGCTATACGTTCAGTACGTGTGCACAGCTGCTCTTTTCTGCGCCAGCATGGGCAGCAGCAGATGGCAGCAACTGCAATCCAGCCCGCCAAACCAGAGGCGCTGCGTTGGCCTTGGCCCATTTGGAGGCAGTAGCAGCACTTATGAGAAAAGGACTGTCAAGTTCATGCCACACTTGGCTGTGAAACATGAAACTTCGGCAGGTGTGAAGATGAACGCACCAGGTGCTGGTGCTGCATCGGGTTTAGGTGTTGACGCGCTGCTGTTGCGTTCACTGCACAGCCACCAGGCCTCACAGCAGGCACGTATTTGTGTGAGCACGTACTCGAAATTCTCGTAGCTTCGCGTTTGTTGAACGTTGTCAGGGGCCCTTGAACTTTGATAAGTCTCCTGGCGCCTTTTGATGCCCATACAACCCAATTCCCGCCTTCTGGTTTTCTCTTCGGGGCCAAAGGCAGTTAAGCAGGTCCAAAAGCATGGTCCTACCCAGTAGGTAGTAGTGCATTCCGCTTCCGACGCATCCGATACAAAGCTGCTTCTTAATGACGCAACCGAAAGACAACGAAGCGGAAACCAAGGTGGGCCGCCCCTGTTCGATTGAGCTGAGCGAATTGGCCTGCAATGAAATTCAGGAAACTACTTGACCTTTATCACTATTCCGTTTAGGAAGCACGATAAATACCAGCAGCCAAAGTGGCAAAAGACCTGTGCAAAGGCTGCACTCACTGGGCAGCACCAGCACCTCCAGGACGAGCTTCAAGATTTAGACACCGCTGCATCAGCAACAAACCACCTTAAATTCCGTTGTTCTGTGGAAGCGTTTTAAGGTCCTGACATAAAGAACACAAAGAGGAGGACTGCAGCTATCAGCCGTGCAGAGGCCTCCGCGGCTGGCCTGCTGCATGACCAGTTCCAAAAACGCAACGACAATCGATTTTTGCAGGAAGATGGAAGACCGTACGGCTTATTGCACAGAACCCTAGAAGGCACTACATGATCATCACTTTTGCCGGCCCTCCACCGCCATAGTAACAATGCAAAAACAGAAACGAATTCCCTCTCGCAGTCTGCCAACTCAAGAGGCACCGAAGGGCTTGGGCTGCTTACTGCTGCTCCATCTGATGCTGTGAATTTTGGCTCAATATCCAAGCGCGTTGGTTTGCCGTATTTTGCGTACTCAGAGACTTTAGGCAATTTTGTTCCTTGGAACTGCTTCCCCTCACTTAACATAGTAGCAATGCAGGCCCAGCAGTCATACTGCGAGCGGAGAAAACCGGCATCAAAAGAGAAGCAAGTGGAAGTAAACACCTGCCACGGCGATAACAGAAGCAGTGCACCCATACCTCTACACGCACTTCCAATCAGGACGCATAGGACAGCTCTTAGTTCGCTGCAGTGGCCGCGTACACTTGCGGCTCCTCACCGAGCCAGCATCTGCGAGAAAGGCCGAGTGCGAAGCGGTAGCGCATCAGAGGGTCCCAGAAGGGGCCAGCAGAAAAAGCAGGAAGCTACAGATGAATTAAGGAGTGGCGTTTATTTCTCGCATTGACTCAAATGCTATATGCGGCATAAAACGGGTAGCTATCGGCCTTTTCAGCGATACTGCTTTGCGTGATAGTAGCGGTTGTGCATATGCGTTCTTTGTGTAGAGCACCTGCTACGTGCTGGTGGGGACAGAGGGCGTTTTCCCCTAGGTGCTAATGTAGCTTGAGACCTCAGGGCGCTCATCTTAAGGAGCACTCGTGCGTGGCCGGCAGTGCTGTGCCTAATTACCTGGTACTGTGCCAGCATGCTCCTTGTAAACCTGTATGTGCGTGCATGTATTCTGTGCCCAGCTCCACTGTGTTGATAAACTTGTCCGCTTAGAATCTCTGTGCTTGTTACTTTGCGTTAATGGGGTTGCTCTGGTGTTTTGGTAAAGGTCCTCTAATACTGTGCCGCGCTTTGGATGGAACGCAGGAAGTGGGATGCATGCTGGCCGATACCGGAGGATTTATTTTCCTAGGTCGATGCATCAGGAAGCTGGTCATCACTGCGGATATCCCTATGGTTCTGGCGCCGTCACATCAGCAGAAATGCTTGAATAATAATGCGCCGCTTAGAACGTCACCTAGAAGGTGTTGAGGTTTAGCTGTTTGCATATTCACGTCAAAACTGCTGGGCCGAGTACGTGGACGGCCAGCGCCTGTGCGTCCTTGAAGTAAAAATGCCACACACAAGTTGGGAATTTGAATAGTACCTGCAATACAGTTTTGGAAGTAGTTTGTTATAGCTGGCTTTGAAGGGGGGCTCACAAATAAGCTCCTACATGGACAATTGCTAGTTGTGTAATGAGCTTAGCTGTCTTGTTCTACGGCGAGAACCCCAAAATTGAGAACTGTACGCCAGCCCCTTAGTGTACACAGCGCTAGCTGACAATCCACATGCGTTTCCTAGCATATTCGTCTTCCTGGGTACACTGCCTTACGGCCTGAGCAGGACCCGTTCCAATACTATATATAGTGGGACCAATAAATCTTCGCTTCCTCCGATAAATCATATATGCTAATGCTTAGTTTTGCACACGTGGGAAAGATGTTCATCTTTCTGGCAGCGTGCGCAATCAACCCTGAGTGGTGTTCCTTTGGCAGTCCCCACCGTGGGTAGTGCTGTCCAAATGATGCGAACTCTGTCACAGCATCCACCTTGTTGCTTCTTGTGCAATAGTATGGAGCGTCAATGCATGGCATATGTTGGTTTGTTATTGATCCTCTTCGTGCGTGGAAAGACGGGCGAGACGTGATGACCATTCAAGGAAACTTAGCCGTAGGGCCGGTATACAACCTGGTCGAACGCGCCATATTAGCACGTCGCATCTAAAGTGTTGTGTAGCATGCGATGACATTGCCCTCTAAATTACCCATCAGCCTTGTTTCTGAATAGCATGGCAGCCCACCTCCGCTCTACCCAAGACGGGTGGACCATTCGTTGCCCCCCTACAATTAGAAGCTACGCTTCATCTACCCATCAAAATCTACACTTTTTATTATTGAATAAATTCCACAGGTATGGTAGGAATATCTGCTAGAGTCTTCATTTCCTAAAAGGTAGATGGTACATACGGGTCGCCTGCGCAGTGGACCGTCCTGGTCTTCCACGTGGTTGGTGTCCAAAAACTGTGTGTATGGCTGATACGCTCTAAAGAAGGAAGTTTACATGTCTTTCATCAGCTATGAGTTTCATAATTCTCTTCAAGCGACCCTGGGTGCTGCCGCAGCGGGTGGCCACGGCACCTAAGAAACACTGAGAGGCTTGCCGCCACACCACTACCGGCCTGAGCCAAACTGACCACCATTTGACCATGGCTACTTGGTGAAGTTGTCTTCTTCTATTTTATTAAAAAGATCTTAATTTGTTTTAAGTAGAAGCTCTTTGAGATGCATTTGAGGAGGCTCTGTTCCTCTAGCATACTGGAAACATCACTGGTTCTGAACTGTGGCGATAGGGACTAAGGCCGCGGGTGCTGGTAGTGATGTCATCTGCAGCAAGTATCTTTTACTTCGATAGCCTTACGCTTAGCCCACTATCCTTTTTTAATGTGGCTCTTGAGAGGGTTTGTTGGCCAAATCAGGTGCCCTGCCCATTACGTCAAGTCCGGTGCGGCAGTCTTAGTATTGTGCCCCAGTCTGGTCCTGGCCCAATTCCGTGCCTGAAAAGAAAAACACTTCCTTTTATTAGCGCTATTGAGACCCTGAGACTGTTGAGGTCATGGAAGGGAAGCTAGCATCGTTCCCGCGCTAGCTGGTTTAAGGATTTTTTGCGGTACAGTTGATGCCCCTCCATCGCCATTATCTCAGAGGAAAGCCGGCGTATTTGAGGACACACCGGCATCAAAGCCAAATTCTTGTCGTTTTTAAGCTGTTTTCTCGGAAATGTCAATCACTGAAGAAATTCAGGAGCCGGTCTTTGCACCAGCGCCTGATGTGCAGCCGTTTGCAACCGCCTCTCCGCGCACTCTCCCGCCCAGGCCGAAACCCCCAAAGACCGTCAGGGGCCTTCCTATGCATCAAAGGAAGCTCTATAGGAACTTGGCTAGACAGACCCCACGGGTTCAGGGCTTGACGTTTGACCACAATCAGATTCGTTGGATTTCCTACTGGAAGAATGAGCAGAATAAGCAAGTGCAAAAGCACTTCCCTGTCAGCCGGTATGGATTTTTTGGGGCAAGGGCAATGGCTCTAGAGGAACGCAACCGCATCCAGGGGTGGCCGCTTGATGCGGACGAAGCTTTTGATGCAATTGAAAGGCTGAAGGTGGACGCAACTCGGGAGGAAGGGGCCATTGCCAATCGTGAAGATTCGCAGCAGCAGGACACAGACGATGAGCATCCAACTGCCCAGGAATTAGACGAAGTCACACAAGCACACACTGCAGGGGAAGATGGAGAGGACGGCCACGAGAGGCGCAGGCCAGTCGTAGGCTCGATCATCCGTCGTAGGAGAGCCCGTCAAAGAGTTATCAGACGGAAGACAAATGCCGGAACTCAGACAGATCGTCGTACTACCACTTACGCAGGAGGCCAGGGGCCACCTGACATGACAAGTGAACCATATACCCCAGCTGAACTTCGTGAAGCCTCAGCAATACCCCCTCCTGCAACTTACGCAGAGTTCCTGGCACGAGCCTATACCGCATCCGCATCAGTTCATAGCGTCACATCAATGCAGTCACCCGTGATGAGGCGGCACGCTCAAGCCGCAGAACTTTTTGCACGACAGCACAAGAACGGGGAATTGGCCGATGTGCTGTTGGCACTGTCGCCGGTCCTCAGCGCAGGCATGGTATACCTGGAAGGGCAAGCGGTAGAAGCACAGAATTCAGGAGCGAGTCGTCTTGTGTCAATGGCATCTAGTAGTTTTGAAGAACCAGAGCCTCTCGTTGAACCGAACGCATTGCCTGACCAAGAACCAGACGCCCTTAGAGATCTCTTGAATTGCGTCGTCTCCAGACCAACGGATACTGGCGTAGACTGGGATGCCGAAGCCTCCAACACAGCATCGATCGTTGATGTCAGCCGGCCCACAAGAAACCCTAACCAGCAGCAGCAGCGACCATTCTCAAGTACACGCATGAAAACGTAGCGACCTGGACATTTTGTTCGGCTATTTGCCAGTTGCCGGCCCGCTATGTTTTTGCAAAGATTCCTAGCGGATTATCTCCTTATCCATAACTTGAAATCGAGGCTCGTAGCCTGTACAGCCGCTCTACAGCAGCAGTTCTCGCCGTAGATTCGCGGAATGTAGCTCAGATTCTCCCCGCACAATTTTGCGGGTTCGGACGCACGATTTGTGATGCGCTCCGGAAATATACTTTGCTGAAAATTGACGGACTAACTACACGCTCCAAACACCAGAAGCAATACCTCAAAGCTCGGCAAAATACGAGCATGTGCGGAGCCGGTAACGTGGCTTTAAGGCACAACCCAACTAGGTACGTCCTGGGTTTTGTTAAAATTTTTGCCAATTCAAGATAGGCATCATACGCCTTGTTGGTTCGACCGTTAAGGTCAGAGCAAAGGATGAAAAGTTTGAAGCAGCTAAACAGTAGTCTCATACAATGGTACAAAGAGCAACTGCTTCATAATTCGAGCAGCGGTAACTGCACGTTGCTTACAGCCTCGCGCGCCGCGAATGCCCCACACATGACATGGTTCCGCTTGGATGGCAGCAGAAAGTTTAGAAGGGACACAATCATTGGAAGATAACCCCTAAAGAAACGGTGCAAACCAATGCCCCTCTCCATAGACAAGAAGTAGTACTGCTGAAACTGGCCGCTCAGGTAGTGGCTTCTGGAGGAATTGTTTCTACACCTGCATCACCTCCGGAGGATGCGGGGAGGCTTTCGGGATTATCTGAAGCGTCAATGTCCCCTCCCTCATCATCCCCAAGCCATGCAGGCTGCACCTCCCATCCTCCCATCAAGCAACGAAAGACGACGCAGGCTCTACGTGCCTCCTTCAGAGTCTTATACTGATTCAACGGAAAGCTTTTCGTCTTAAATCTGCCGTTCTCTCTCCACTGGCAGCGCCAAAGCTTGCGTGCAACGTCGAGGTAGACTCCTGTGGGAGTGGAGGAGTTGCCACCCCCACCCTGGCCTCGACCACCGGGGGCAGGCCGACTCCTCCCCCGTCTCTGGCGTGCAGCACCTCGCTCGTGAGCGCTGGAACTCTGTGGGCCCGCACCACCTTGTAGTGAAGTGTCCGAAGTAGACCCTGCGTTGCTAGTGGCTCGGCTGCAAACGCTCACACCGCGGCTTGATAGATTTGAATCTACAGACATGCTACAGCGGGAAATAGAGAAGTCAGAGAGACCGCCAGTACCCGGCTCTTGAGACGCCCATACAGGAACGCCCTCCACATTCCGAACCACTACACGTCTGCCACCAATCCGCACTGTCCCTGAACGTTCTCCTAACGATGCCACTGTCCCCAACCGTGTCCTGCAGACAGATAAGAGGCACAAAGTTTGTCAGCATCAGCCCGATGCATCACTGGACAAGCACGAATGTGCTGCAAAGGCGAAAAGGATAGCACAGTGGGCCTTCGGTCTGTCTAAACTCGAAAGATATGACTTGATATTCGTTACATGGGAGCCGAAAATACTATCGAGATAAACCAAAGCCTTGCAAGCTTGGTTTGTATGCACTTCATGTTCCATTTCTCCCCACCCAGTACCGCCTCGTACGCCCTTTGTGTGGTCAAGTGCGGCTGACCCCTGGGAGCGAGAAGATGCGTGAGAGCTGCCACGTGGAGAACTGCCACTACTCTGTGGAGACTGCCTCCAAGAGCGACGCCTGAAGCGTGAGTAGCGCTGCTGTTTTACCCCAAAAGCCCTCAAAGGCTTTACTGCACAAAGCCCACACAGCGCATTCGACATGCCGTTGAACAGGCGTAAATATTTACACTCCGAGCGTGTATTATTCGTGCGAGTCACACGAAGAAAATCAATTTACGAGGACTACCAACCGCTGTATCTAGCAAGGGCTCGCTTGGTGCCCAATGTGGCAGAACATAGCTACGCATCTTGGCACAAAAAACGTACATCGTATCTGCACATCTGTATAGTCCTTGTCAAACGGCTCGTAAGTATCTCTGTAGGAGACGGCTCGCTTCAATAAAGGAAGGGCGTAGAAATCGTCCACAGCCAGTCGGTCCTGCGTGGGTTCCGCTGCAGGCGTCGCAGAAGCTGCTAACGAGCGAAGGAGAGGCGTAGTGACATCCAAATATACTGGTGTGGCATTATCTGTGCGTCGAGCAGCCTCAGAAAGTACCTTCGATGCGTCCTCATGTTCAGTCTTCGTCTTGAAAACATTGGTTGCACTAACCTGCATGCGCGAATTGAAGTCCAACGGGTCTGAGATATGGGGTGTGCCATTCCGAGTATCTGTGGCCCCTGTAGGCACTCCAAAACGTCCACATACAAGTGAAACAACAGCATAAGCTACACAAACAGCTTTTATCCTCTCAGAATGACGCAATTACGCTTCAGCACTTGACTCGTCTTTAATATAGGGAGGTGTTGAGGCCATCAGACCCATCCTCGGACGGCCTACAACAGGACACGCGTTGCGTACCCTCAAGGCTTTGGTCTATGGGGCCGTTGGTGGAGTCGAAAAGAGTGTTCAGGACTCCTTCTAGCAACTCAAATCCCTTTACACACTCGACCTCACCATCCGACGGGGTGCACAGGATGGACGAAACGAACGTCAAGATGCCCTGGCTACTTCCCGGCTGCAACCCAACTAAGGACGAGTCCACAGGGCCCTTCTGTTGCTTTGCCTTTCTTCCTTGCTGGCCGGAGCCTGGTACTCCTGCAGCATTGGAAGCGGGTGCCGTAGTGTCTATATGAAGCCCCAAAATTTGCTCAGTTGTAAGCAGGCCATGGCCGCGAGGCAGCCCAATGGAATGAGTAGTCTGGCGTTCCCCCAGTTCAAAAGGCCAGTTATCCAAACTGTCCACAAGCTCGGCAGCAGCATGAATCAGTTCGATGGGTAGGTCTCCGCTGTGGATACCCACGGCATCCGCTCCTTCGTGGAAGGCCATGGAAATCCCTATTCGGTTTTGGCTGGTGAGAGCATCATTCGTTTGTGCCACTGTAGTCCCCGTTCCCGCATTTTGCACTTGCCCAGCACTGACGCCAGCACTTGACTGGGAGGCCTCTAACATCGGTTCGTAAGGAATGCGAAATAAGTGAGGAGCTGCTGCGAGTGAAATGGTAGAACTCACAGACGAAGAGCTGTCGGAATCGCACTCGTTGCTGTCTAAAGTCCTCGAGTCTGGTCTTGCTGATTCCTGTGCAGCCCCTGTCTTGATGTAGTCCCCCCACCACCACGGCACCAGAGGCATGACTCTCCGAGAAATTTCTGCAAGGCGCGCTGGCGTTGCGTGGAGCTCATCCGATGTTAGCCGCGCTCGTGGCATTCGACGAAGCCTGCGGGGTGAAACATCCACTCCATCTCCACCGTATCCGTCCCCGCCATTTCCAAATCTCCCACAATCATCTCCTGCGAGCAATAAGTGGCACATACTGTACGTATATGCATAAAAACTGCTTTTGCCAAGTGGTTTACGTTCATACTCAAACAAGGCGCTGCATTCCACAAAGTACCTCTCCCTGTAATCTGTGAGTGCATAGCCTAAATGGCAAAATTATAGCCGCACAGCAATCATCTGGGCCCAAGGCAATCACATCAAAGACCTCGATGCCTCACTATCAAAAGTCCGGCCTCTGCGAGCTCTCCCATTCCCATCGCAATGGTTATGAAGTTCGCATTCCTGTGAAGTTGCGGATGAGGAATTTCCAGAGGCTCCATCACTCCCTTGGGAACCAGCATTACGGGGCACCGCAAAACACCGGCCTATGCGGGGACGTCTGGACTGTGCTGGCGGCGTGCTACACGTTGATGGAACTTGCGAAGAAGCAAGTGAAACAGGGTAGCTATAGCGCGGGCTGTGCGTGTCCTCTTCCTCATATTCGTGATCACCCACAACGCCAGACGCAGCTGCTGCCCGTATCACATTTCTTTCGGCGCCACGTGGAGACACCAAGCCCTTATGCAACGGTATTGCTCCTAAAAGAAGGCGCAATTGCTCAGGTGCATATTTTGCCACCTCTGTGTTGTCCACTGCCTCCGGCAGCCATGGGATGGCCTCACAATGCCCGCCATCAACTGCAGACATAGGACATATCTTTTCTTCCGAGGCCCTAGTTGCTGGTGGTCGATACAGATTAGTTGAAAGCATGGACAGCCGGGTGACGCTCTTGTCGAGGTCGCCGCTAGTTACTACGATGTCTGACTCGTTGGAGGTCAGGCTCTGTCTCCGCCGCTGCAAGCACGCTTCTGCCCAATCCCGCGTAGCCCAGCTATGCACGTGCGAAGACCGGGCCCCCTTGCAGCCCTCCACGTCGTCGGCTTCCTTGCGTGCTTCTGGCACGCCCGCTCTTAGAGAATGCGGATGTCTGATCTGTCGTACCCGTTGCATGAGAAAAACGGCGGCTAGAGGTGACAAAATGACGTACTGGCGTAGCCTCAGCAGCATCTGGCCTACAGCACTCCGGAAGCCTGACCTTGTCAATGAAAGGGGCTGGTACAGCTCATGCAAAATCAAGCGAAATTGCATGCGGCACCCCAAGGGACAAATGCGGCACCATTCCCAGCCTCCCTTGTTGCTTCGTGTAGTGGAAACGGGTCGCCTACATGTGGCTAAATCAACGGTGCCTTCACCTGACTCCTCTCCGGAGGAATCTGCAGGCACAAAAAAGGCCACCACTGGACGTCAACTCATTATGAAATCCACCAGGTTATACATACATGTAATTCTAATTGAACACTGCACGGAGACTTTCTTCTGTGAAATGACACCATATACCACTAACGAACCTGTAGGCAGACGCTCCGCCGCAGCCTTATCAACTGCGACTTCAAAAGCCATGAGCGTTCGTCGCCACGCCAGCCGCACACGGCACAGCTGGCCAGAACAAACGCTACAAGGGCATCCACAGCTCCTCGCAGTCCCACCTCCCTGGGTTGGTGGCTGCCGCATCTGGATAAGCCTCTCCAGGGAGGCCACCAGACCCTCTGCATAATCGCCAAAGGCGGCAGCATATTCCTCTGCGCATCACGCAAGAAGGCAGCATGGGTGGCGATTCCAGCTGTCCAAGTACATCCATGATACGTATGTATATATATATATATATATATATATATATTCTCCGGCAACCCCATGTTGTACCCATTCATACAAGCGAGCTCTCAGATATGCCACGATCCCACAGATCGACGCGCAACAAACTGACCCTGGTAGTATGCCAACTGCCCCAAACTGAAATGGAGTGCGCCCACTGCTTACCGGGCGTGACTGCCCATATCTGCTGCTCCGTCGGCGGTTCTCTCGCTGTTCGCGTATACCAACGCTCCAAGGTCTGCAAACCTTCAGCTTCCGTAGTGCCCGCCTCCTTTAGTACCCTGCTCCACGGGGTTTCCGACGGCTGGTGCTGAGACAGGTTCTGAAACACTTTGGGGCGTTTTCTTCGAGTTAAAGCTATTCTTTCTGTAGTGCCCCCTTCAGCATCCCCAACTGCGGCGGTGCAGCGCCTGAGGCATCCAACATCGTCTACAGCTATGCCCCAGGCTCCAAGGATCCTGGTACCTTCTTCGAGGCGATAGAGCCCAGGGGCTGTGAAAGGCTCCTTTGGGGGGGCCCACGACTCAAGGGAAGCAACAGGATCCTGTGAGTCGGTGATACGCGGCCTGATATTTACGTATCGCCCCATATCTTCATCCGAAAGCACAGCTGCCGGGGTGTAGGTGCTCCGTCGAGGGAAGAGTGGTACCAGGGCCCTCCAATAGCGGCGCGTCCGAATTGAACACCGCCGTGCGTGAAGAGTCACTCTTAGACAGTGGTGCGACAAACATCTACTGGGAAGGCTAGCACAGAGGAAAGCAGGGGACAGAGGCTCCCCGTGTACTTGTATCACCTTGCCACTTGCTGGACTTCGAGGAGCGTCAAGCGCAGGGGGAGACGCGCTAATTTGCGAACGGGAGAGATTGCAAGTTAAGTCGTCACCATCACAGCGACTGTCCCCGGAGTTTTTATCACTGTAGCTCCAGCCGGGATATATATCCATTTTGGGGCCCTCTGTTTCGCGTATCTCAGTGTTAGAGGACCGGAAGGCGTGAAGCGTGCTAGTCAGAAGTGCACTGGTATCCAACAAAGCTGCAGCGCGTAACATTTGCCTTCGCTTCTCCGAAAAGTTTTCCCCTAGATTCTGTGGGTCTTCACATACCAAGTGTCGTGGATCTTCTCGCTGATGAGGCTCCAGCTGCCGGTCTGCATCGCGGGACTGTCCACTAAGCTTTTTGTCCCGCTTCGAGCTCGTCGCTGCCCCAGATGCTTCATGCGTGCGATGATGTCTCGACAAGGATATACCATCGTCCTCACTAAACACTTTACTGGAGTGATGGCGCCAGCTGGTCGCCGTTAGCCATCCCTCGAGTTTTTGCTCATGAGCTGCTGGTCCCGTCTGCGGCACTCTGTGTTGACACTGTTGTTTTCGGGCTTCGTGGATGTCAGAAAAGAGCTGTGCAAGATCGTGTGGTGCGGCATTGCGCTCCTGAGACCTCTGAAACACTAATCTCTGTTGTTGCTGTGAGAGTGCCCTCTGACGCAGCAGCTGCTGCTGGTGCTCCATAGAAGCCCTCTGCATCAGCTGAAAGCGCAGCTCCTTGGGACTCCTCACATCCAATAAGTCCGTTTCCGACACTGCAGGAGCTTCGGAGCCCATGGGAACAGTCTCACGCACTTCACGCTCGCCCCTTAGCGCAAGATGTGCCCCTGCGGCCGTATCGGCATCCCGCAGGGTGACTACAGGCATTGGGACTTGCTGTGTCTCATGTGAGGGTTGAAATTGAGGGCTGACAGCCTCCAGTAATTTTGTGGCTTTGTCCTGTGCGCAAAGTTGATCCAGCAGCAGAAGCTGCTGGCTGATTATTGAAAACTGCTCCTGTGGCGTGAAGTCCGCCATTTCTGCTGCGCACAGTCTGTACCTGCACCATCGATTTCCACCAAACGCTTCTTCAATCTAAGAGGCTTTCGACTGGCCAAATATGCCGCAGTAAGGGTGTCCCTTGCAATGCATGCAACACTGCACAACTCTGCTGCTATTTACGAAGTTGGCATGTGCATTGATAATAGCCCCAAAAGCGAGAGCAAATGCTGCCTTACGCCTGTACTAAGCCGCGAGATCCTGGAACCATTGGATCCCACGAATGGGAACTATGCTGATGGTTTCTCGTGGTACTACTTTCTATGGGTTGACGCAATCCACCGTCCGAGTTCGTAGTTGCTGGTGGTGAAGTTCTTCGTGATAAGGCACCATGAACCAAACTGTGCTGAAGCAGAAATTCGCAGCTCGAAGCGTTTTATGCGCAACAAGAGCTTCCACCTTGCTCACCTTTGCAGTGAGTCACCGATGGTAGACTGAGTCTCGACTGTCACCACCTCACTAATGGTGTAGAAAGTTGCTCCCCGTAGCAAGCCTTCATAGATGGCGTTTAAAGGCCTAGACAGTAGCCGACAAAATACCAACTTGGCGCACACGCGCACTATCACCCTTCCGAGGAAGCGCTTCATGCGGTCCACCAGCACCGCACAGGAACTCGAGAGCGTCACTACTGCAAGCAGCAGACGCAGGGCTTCCCGCTTTTCTAGTGCTCTTGCCTCATATAAGAATGCCAGAAATTTCAGGAAATACTGCCGAGGGTTAAGGATGTGTGCTAACGCATTGTTGGGATTGAATCGCACCGTTGTATGGCCACCGCTCCTGGAAGCTGCCACTGAACGGCTGAGGGAATGCCCGATGAGAAAGGAGCTTAGTCTAAGGTATTTTCTCCGTACTTACCTAAATACGTTGTTGTTATAGATGGGGGATCTGATTGTGAGCGCTGCATGATGGAGCAGGTATCTTCTTTTTCTTATAGGAAGCTCGAAATACCCCAGCCGCCCACGAAGGCAGCTATCAACCAGCAGTTAGCAGCCTGCATCAGCAATAATGGAGCTGCTTTGCCTGCTTATATGTACCAATATAACTCAAGTGTATTGCCCATGGATTGTATACTGAGCGAGAACGAGGCTGCTGACTTCAAGCACCAATATTCGCGGTCGATTGGCCGACAGGTGGTGGATGTTGCGCGTATGCAGTAACTGTACCGATCTGCACACCTCATGCAAAGTAATCGGCCCAAGAGCTCATGCATGCTTCGTAACTCTGATTCTTATTACATTGCGCCGCCTTTTTAGTATGAAGCGCTGCTAGTTGCTTGAACTCTTCGCGTTGAATGTACCTCGTGTCTGAATTGCTAGCAAAAATGGCTGCACAGCATCCAATGGGACTTCATGGTCTATAAAATGATGACGTGACTCCAAACTCAGCGAAAGACTAAGGAAAGCTTCGAGCCTCTGCCTTACAAGGCGACATGCAGTTTGAAGCTAATGATGTAAAGCTCGTCATAGGGTATCTATAGGGAGACACTTAGCCCTAAACCCGAAGGTAAAACTCGACACTAAGTTATTTTTATATTTTGTTTAGAATGAGAGCCGTCCCCTCTTGGGGCCCTGGCCCCCTAGGGTCTGTGGATGAGGGAAGAAGAACAGCCACGGTGTGCGTTGGTGCACCCTGATAACTGAGCACTGAAAGCTAGTTGCACATATCAACTAGGAGACAGAGACAGAGCATTGGTTATTATTACGCTGGGCTAACTTCGATCAGCAAGAACTTACATCTACAAACAACTGAGCCAAATAATCAATTCATTGCAATATTTTCAATTTTATGCTAATATAATAAACGATGTCAGGGTGTAGCTCAGCCCTGCACAGGAACCATTCGTGAGCAACTTTAATTAAAAAAAGAAAAGCAGGGGAAATCCGCTTTTTGTCCAGGTGTCTAGCTTTATTGTACCATTGAGAGGCCGCTGACCAGTCCTACCCTCTCGTGTTGTATGGATTTACCTGCTCAGGAAACTAGGATACTGCTTGGTCTCTGGCTGCATGCTGCAAAACATAATGCTACGTGTCTAAAGTATTGACCAGAATTTTTTTTTCGGACCCAGGACAGACAATGGTTGACCAGCGAAGTTTTGAGGATGCTGATATTTCAATGAGTACCATTCACAGTTCCTCACGCATTGCGGCCCTCTTAGTGTTCTTGCTTAAAAGGCCGGGAAAATTTGCATGACAGTGGGAAATCTCGAATCATTATCTTCGGAATATCTGTATTCTCAAAAGTTTGATGGTCGAACGCCGCCTGCCCTCGGTCCGAAAAATATAATTCGAGTCAATCCTTCGGACATAGCATTAATTCTTGCAGCAAGCGACTAACCAAGCGCTGCAGCAGACACAATATACTAACGTTCGCATAATACAAGTGGTATTTTACTTTTTTTACTTTTAAATGCCAGGTGTATTGGGAACCGCCAAGATGTAGCTTCCCACCTTGCACAAAGTTTTTTGTGGCGGCTACCACAATTAGAACAGGAATTGTGTCGGCCAAGAAAATGTATTTTCATCGTATTGTATTCTCCAAAGGGTCTGGGCCGTAGTTGGCTGCTTTGCTGAACTTGTAACAGGCAATTCGGGTCTGCACCAATGAGTGTGTAGAAATCTCAGGGATTGTAGCCCCCATGGGCAGCAATTCTATTCCCTTTAAGAAGTTATTCTAGCGGTGTCAGCCATAGCATGGTGAATTATACCCTTGCATTGCATTATTTGTCTAGTATTTCGCTAGTAGCAACAGTACCTATCAGTGGATTGGCTTTTTACCTTTCTTTACTCAAAAGGTCAAGTGACCAAGCAAAGGTACCTACACGCCCAGTTGCATGACAAACAGTCGATACTTTGAATACTAGCTCTTCCCTTGATTTGAGTAACTTTTATGTCACAAAGGATGCAGTAACCAACATCTTTATGGTACTAGTGTCTAGTTCTTCCAGAGCTGCCGACAATCTCACAAGCCCACCATTTTTCAGGATGGTGCCATGAAAAACACTAGACTCTGCTTTCTCTAAGCCTACAGCTTTGCTCAAACTATCTGTAGAATGTGCGTAGTTAATCCGAGCTTCTCCTTCACATAGGGCCTTTGCGCCTTGAATTGGCCGTTCTCTAGCTGAACAGAAGGCAACTATGTGAGCGTCAGTGATCATGCATTATTTCCTACACTGCACGCATCCTCCCAAGCCTGATGCGTAAGCATTAAGAACGATAATTATGAATACTGTGCAATTCTACACCTGAGTAGTTCCCCTCTCTATATGGCTAGCCGGACTCCTGTTGCTCTTACGAGGCGGGCCACTTGCAGCAGCACATCGGAAGCTCAGAACGAGCTCATTAAACAGCAACCAATCTCAGCACTGATTTACCTAGAGTGTGGTATTTTAGCTCAATAGTATCATCCATCGTAGGCACTGCAGAACACTCCACGAAATTCAGGTCAAGGCCAGTTGCCTCTGAGAATTGGTCTGGCATGGCCCCAAGCAATAAAGCTCGATTCGCATAAGTAACTTTATCCTTTTCATTGGGTATGCTGTACAGTACTTAAACGCGCTGCCGTAGGCTGGTGGCCCTCGTTGAACTAATCAGGAAGAAAAGGCAAGAGGACCCAATCTTTGTTCCTTCTTGCAGTTTCCTGGACGTTATTGGGCTTTAGTACTTAAATGTCAACTCTAGGCACACACTTCGGTTACCATGAGTTGCTCACAAAAAAACAAAGACTGCAGTGCGCTTTGGCTGACAAGATCCAGGAACGCCACACAAAGTCTGCTCCTATGGGTCAACTTTAACCGTAAAAGAAGTAGTGGTCACTCCAGCAGGCGGATCTAAAGCTATGTTGAGAGTGTAATGAATACATCAGGGCTAAATTATCTTTTCCACTTGTACAATCTGCGTACTACAGATTTCTGCAGTACCCTTTTAGTTTGTGCGTTCGGCTAATGCCTTGAAGTTGCGCTGGGGCCTCAAACCTGGCAATTAGTTTTGCAGTCCATCTTTTAGCCCCTCAGTAATGCATATCCTCGAAAAACAGGAAACTGTGTCACCCTCCACAGCATGTGACAATCCGCCTAACAGCCAAAGGCATAATCGTGCAGAAAAAAGCGGACTGACCACTGGTGGGTTTGCATTTCGAAAGCATCTCAATGCCGAAGCAATTTAAACCATTTGCGCGCTTTTTACAAACGTAAATGCACATGGTTTCCTCCTGGTGCAGAAGTGCAGTTGGCAAAAAATTATGTCTTGCCTACGTATATGTATCTGATTAATTCACAAATCACAGAGATAAACACTTCACAAATGGCGAGAGACAGTGCTGAACGGCCAGAATGTGAGACTCACAAAATTGTTGGGCCGAAACGTCTACGGGGCTCTGACTGCCCTAGAGGTTGTGGGCAGAAGCATTGCACGGGTGTTTGTATGACTCGAGGAGATTTACTTTGTCACCTGAAACAGGGTTTGTAGTAGAGTTCAGCAAACAAGCATATGTATAAATAACTCCAAGACAGTAGACTTTCGCTCACTACCAAAGGCTTCCGGGCATCTAGGGAATCGGCAGGATGTTCCAGCGCTCTACAATTCCCGATATAGCGGTTCTGTTGAATCAGAAGCGCCCAAGAAGCGTCCGCAACTTACTCAACCTTGACTATGCAAAAAGAAGACGTGCTCTTGTAGCCATTGCAGCTCTGGCCTTTCCGACATGAATGCAGCGGCTGCTTTGCAGTGGGCAGCTGTGTTGATGGAAGCTCCTGCAGAAATAAACTTGTTGCCAGACTCCGACAAAGAACCACTGCTACCACTAGAGCCTGTGCCTCTGAGCCGCCTCGAATGTGCCAAAGAGGAATCCTGATCTGCTATCGGCTTGACAAGAGCCTTGAAATTGGGAGGTATAGAGACTTGAATGACAGGGGCTAAGGCTTCGTATTGAAGTTTGTCAAAAGGCCCCATTGGGGTGCCGTCCAGGAGCAGAGGCTCTAAGACAATCTTCAAGTTGTGTGACGGTAAGTGATGGGGGTCTGAACTACCATACGAAACCCCACGTGACTCTACAGGAGTATCTGGATACGCCGGGATTCTGGAGCCGTCAAAGGTAGAATTCTTTAATTCTCGTTGTTTCGGGGTAACCTGACGATTTCCTGACAGAGACCGGCTTTTTTTTGCCTGTATATACTGATGAACTTGACGTTCAATTTGGACAACTTTTTCAATATCAGCACCCCCTACTAGCAGGGCCAGCCGAGCAAAAAATTTCCCAAACCCTTCATTCTGAGCTTCAAAATCTAACGTATAAACGTGCTTGCAGTCCCCTGGTGATGCCCGAGACATAAAGTGCTTCTGGCAACTGTCATAACGCTTGCTCCTAGTTTGAAGAGAAAAACTCGATGATCTCAGAGTAACTTGGGTACTTGCAGCTTCCACAGATGCAGGCGCACCTGAGTTGGCATTAGTGGGATTCAAAGATGGCTCTTCCTGTATAGGCGATGGGCCCTCGAGTCCAATAGTGGCCGAGTTCAGTATCGAAGAGGGTTTCTCATTGAGAGAACTCCAGTCCTCATCTGTGACTATCTGTGTGTTGTCACCTGTTTGTGCTGCTGCCAATGCCGCTGCTTCAGAGAGAGCTTTAACCGCTGCCGGAGTTTGCTGGGGATGTCCATAAAGCCGGTGGCAATCGGCTCCACAGAATGAGAGCAGCAGGCAGACGTTATGACGCCATGATAATTTTTTGCCCTGTTCCTGCTTCATATATCTGGTGAGAAATCCATAGCCCTGAAGTGCGAAGCAAAGTTGCCGCTGCCGATTCTGGCCGATGTTTCTAACCGACGACCCACTAAAGACAAGCCCGCATTCTCCAAAAGCTACTTCATTCTCGCGTGTCATCTCCATTTTCGTAGCTCTAACTGCTGAATACAGTTTGCCGTCTTCGTGGCTCATTGAATATACAGCATCAAGAAATGCCGGGAGTAAAACCAATGAGAGAGCCCAACCGAGCATCAACTGAGGATTCACTCCAACTACACGCGTCATCTCGGCTTCAAGAAGTAGGGCGGCTTTTTGAGACCGTTAGTAAGGTGCAAATATAGCTTGGGGAAAGGTAGAAGCGCTTTTGAAACTCTTAACGGGGATCTTGAAATAATTTTTGGCGTTCATATGGATATTCGTAATGTGAATTTACCCGCTGCATCGGCTTCTGCATAACGGGGAGTTCACTATTGGACACTAGAAACGACAGTGAATATAAAATGCTAGGATCCTACCCTCCCTCCACAGTCCCCACTTCTTCAAGTGGAAAGGAGGGTGGAACTGGGCGAAGCGCCCTTCTCCGCTCCTAGTCCCGCCGCACCAAATCTCAATCTGTATAAGACTCTAAGATGCTGCTATTCTACACGTTGTTCAGACATTAGTAGGGCGTACGATGTGGCTTCACTAGCGTAGCCAGGCCTCCTAGGCTCCACCACTGGTGAGCTAGTTGGGGCTATCTTCTGCCTTGCTTGTGCTGCTTGTGCCTTCTACGCAAACATATTGTGGGCTTTTAGCGTTGCGCCGTTTAGATATTGTCTTTTGGCCTACTATATGGTCGACTGCGTCGTGTCGGGTGCAGCAGCCCCACTACGCATGAGCCCCAGACTCTACGTTGGGTCTTTTATGCCCCTATGGGTGCAGTAATATACCAGGAATGCACAGATTAAGTCCATTTTCTTGATAATAGATTGCAATGCGTATTCTCGGGCTTCAATAATTGCTATTCACACAAGCAGGGTAGTTGAATGCATGCATCTGACTGCAACAGCCCAGCACATCCATTCTCTTTCCTCCACGGACTAAGAAAAATAGTCTGTATCTTCATTGCAGCTATCAACTTCTGTATCTTCATGGTCGTCAGAGAGGAGTAAGTACAATTGCCCCCCTGCCACCGATACTTCTCCATTTTTTGTAAAGTTGTGAAGCGGGAGCGCGTGCATTGTGAGTTTCATGTGGTAGGTGATCAGGCCCCATTGTGTAAATATCAACTTTAGATAAGCATACATGAGTTTATAAGGATTTTTAATGGGCATTTCTCAACAGAAGCCTCCTCCTTGAGCCTTGTTCAAAACCCACCTTCTCGGCAAATGCTATATTTGTGGTCTTACAATGCAGACTCTGCTGCCATCACTGAACTGCTACACTATGCTAACAGCTTATCATAGAAGGCCAAGGGTGAGGCTGTGGTGGATGTTAACCTTCTTTATACCACTATACTACCCTACTGTGTGTTTTGTAGAACCATGCCTTGATTCGATCGATGGAGCAGCTGCGTCTGCCCATTGATACTGGCATGCATTTTCTACATCTTGCGTCAAATTTACTTGCATTTGGGCCGAAATGCCCGAAATACAGTATGTATATGAGTAAGATGCCTTCACGCTGAATACATCCATGTTTAACTTCAAATGTTGCTTTGCTAAACGCGTACGCAGTCGCAGAATTGCTTCATTGGAAACGCTAGTCTGCTTCCTCACCGACTTTCCCACCCTTGCAGCCATTGCTTTGAAGCTGCTATTCAGGTCTAATATTGACATTATACACCGTTCAGTGAGCTTACCAGTACTCTTCTCGAGCTTTCCGTTGTATTTACATGCGTCTCTGACCACTCCGGCGTAACACAAGAGCAGATGAGGCTAAGCACTTCGCTGCAGCTTGGGTGTGTGCGTAACGCTTCATCTGAGGTCTTTTGAAAAAGCCACAAAGCTTCAGACTCAACGCAGAATTATTCTGCAGTTACAGAGCGTTTTAAAAGCACTTGCACCTTCCCCTCAACGCATGCCGCAGTATTCTCGAAATGAGAAGAAAGGAACACCCAGGGTGAGCGTATCTGCACCCTCCAAGCACCCAGAGCATTCACAGCAACAGCACGTATCATCTATCACACGTGCACATGTTTTCTTGTGGTATCGAGCTGATAGTGCTCCGCAACGAACAGGACGTATGTCGAGACAGACCAATTAGTTAATTCTTTGCTAAATGATTGCTATAAATCATTAGTCTAGAAGAACGTATTCAAATGGTGAATCAGTCATTTAATCCTTTGATAATCCTTCGTTAATATAAATGCTTGATTACGACGTTTTCAAGTGTAACTAGCCCGCTACACCTCTTCCATTCTTCCCGTTTCTTCAACTTCGAAAACAACCCCAATTTTATACCCTTATGCCGAAGTCTACTGCGTCTAGAAGAGCGGAGAAGCTCCTGCTCGATCAGGCAGGCAGAAACGCGGAATGCACTGCACGTGAGAAAAGTAAGTTTGTGTTTTAGCTGTCCTAAAATTCAACGGGAGGAAAGGCACACACGCTCACCAGCAACGACGGAAGGACCAACCAACACGACTACGGCGAGGGCTGTCGTCAACGCGCCGAGGTGCGTCAGTCTCCTGCTACGAGAAAACAGAAAAATGTAAAGTATGTAAGAGAAATCAAAAACACACCAGTTCAGACGCAGCACTGCGTCTGCACCGAATACGTCAATGCCTGCATGCAAATTAGCCCAAAGCATGAGAAGTAGTTGTGTTTAGAGCCCCAAAGATGCCTGAGGGAAAGTGTAGGGACAACATACCTCAGAGCGCCTGCGCATAAAAATAAGTGTAGCGACCACCTAACAATAATGACTAGAAACTTTCCAAGCAGCCCCCACTAGCTGAAGGTAGCTAGTGCACGCACAGCAAGCGCTGAGGAAAGGACAATTACCGAGGCACCGTCCAGCGCGACTACCAACGTTAGCCAAGCAAAATCACAAAGCTTCCTGCAGGCAACGAAGTCCAAAGTTGCTTTTTCATTAATCACTGAGGTTGGCGTTTTCCAGCCCATTTTGATTGAAATTTTCGTATACTGTTTTATCGGCTCTCAAGCGTTCTAGAAATTCAACAATTCTACAGCTTCCTGTGATGTCTTTGCATCCATATGGGTCAATCGCATCTGCGAAATGGTCTGCGAACGATTCAGGCAGCTTTTAAGCCTCTTGAGAAAGTCAATATTGATAGCTCTGTGGCAGCTCCTTTTCTTAGGGTAATCGCTAGGGTAAGAAAGAACTTCTATATGTGAGAAAAACGGCAAATGTTACCAGGCATGCGGCCGCTAAGCTTTTTCGTCTGGTCGCCTTCCGGTGCACCTCAAAGCCTGTCGATAACACACAGCCGACTGTCGCTTATCATCATACCGTGTTTGTTTCTAGTTATCTTTGCGCATACATTCGTGTACACTAGCCAGCAACTTTCTAAATTCCCCAGCTGCTAAGGGTGGCTGCTAACCCCGGACGACTAGATCTACGACCGTATCAGAGAGAGGCTTTTATGTGTACACTAGGAGCGCGGGAGAGCAAGACAAGTATACGGCTGCACGAGGAATCCATTCAGCATAAGAAGAAAAACCAAGCCAAGCAATTGGATTTGTGTAAGCATAGGGTAACGAATACTGCAGAAAAGTTCGTTCGGTGCGCCCTGTCTGCCCATCTGTCCCATGGCGATTCGTAGCGCCAAAGTTGCAGCTCGTCGGTATGCTGGTCATCAAAGCAATCCACAACGCGCTAGCGAATTTTGGATCCCTATCCGTAACGACACCTTGGGGAAGTCGTGGAGCTCCCAAGCATGAGTAAAGTATACTTGAGTGCCTACGTGAGCCATGCCAGAGCTGAAGCACAGGATGTAATGGGCATATTTGCTATTTGTTAGCAATGAAGCATATTCTATCCTGGCTTTCGACTACCGACGGTCTCAGAAGAAGGTCCAAAATCATATAATACACATTACATTTAGGAAGCAGAGGCCTTCCAAGAAGCAGGATTCGAGAGGAATGCGCAGCTTCAGCTGCTCCTATGCTGGCCATGACGGTGCATGCACCTCTGCCGCGAACTGCATCGCAAGCTACAAAAAGACTGTGAGGGCTTTGTTACTCCAGTGTATATCTCATCATGCGCAGCAGACATGGTTCTGTGTTTTGCACAAAGCGGCACTGCACAGCGAAGTTGAGATATAGAATCGACGGGATACCTGCTCTGCTGTGAACCACATCACGTCATATCTAGCGTGGTAGTGCTTCACCCAATTGCCAATCTATATGCATGCGTATCGTAAGAAGCAGCTAGTTGTGATTGACTTTATGAACCTTCATAGGCAAGAGATATTACACCGCATAGTAGTGAACTTCTAGGGCATCGCAAAAGTTTGTCAGTGACCAATTCGATGACGCCCTTAATGCATTTAACTAAAAAGTAGTAGCGCAGGAAACCCCACAGCCAACAACTCGAAGACTATCAAAGTCCTGAAGACTCTGTGTGAGGCACATCCAAAGGGATTGTGTGTGTGGAAAGTAAAAGGCCGCTCCTATAAATGGCGCCATCACATTTTGGAAAGCCCAACCACGTTGCGTAGAGTCCCTATTCTTGCAGTGAATACCGCTGCTCGGTTTGGTGAACAGATTATGACACGCAATGACTTGATGCGATGAGGACCCTACGGCAGTAGTAGCAGCAGCAGCAGGCCGCTGGGCCTACAGTAGTACTGCTGCTGCTGGTGCTACCGCTGCCAGAAACTCTCGCTTCCTTCTCTATCCTACTTAAATACCTACGGCGATGGGAGAGGAGAGCACCCATCACTACGTAGCTAACATCGGTCGTTAGGAATAGCTAACGCTTGCGACCGGGCAGCACAAGTACCGGAGAAGTTGTAAGGCAGCAAAAAGGCTTTCGTGCCGCGGCATCAGCATCTTCTGTCCCAGTTAGAGACTGTAATTCTTGAGTTAAGCAGACAAAGGAGTAGGGATCATGGCAAGCCCACGCATGAGATTACGAGAGTAAGATGCATGCCATTAAAAGGGTCAATGTTCTTGCTGATGCGTAAGGGTAGAGGCCATATCTTGAGAATTTCACTTTTTGCCCTATCTGGCTTGATTCCTGTAGCTAAAATACGGAATGCTGAACACTTTTTTGCTTTCATAAAATCGAGCAATTGCGTGTTTTCACATATTCCTGCCTATTTAGCGGTAGCTGAAGCGCAGTTTGTAGATGCTTTCGGTGCTCTTCAACGTCTCAGCAACTGACTAAGATGTTTTCCATGCAATATCCATCCATTTTCCCTTGCCAAGCTAAGTGACAACTGTATTGATTTGTGGTTGCAGCTGAGCTAAAGAAATTACAAGTCTTAATAGCATACAAGGATACTCAAGATTGCGAATGAGAGCGTGGGACGCTTTTTTGTGCCTGGCGGCTGAGAGAAAGGAACCTTTTTCGAGAAAGCCTTTGTGAGGTTAGTTGAGTAGACTGTAGATCCACATACTATTCCGAGTGCCTCGCCAAATATGGGGTAGCAGGACAATCTCACAAGTGAGGTTGCTAGGCTGCTTCTCAACCTCTTCTTCATGCTGTGGGGACTTCCGATAAAGCAGAAAATTGGTTGAGGATTACCCAGGGACTAGTTCAGTATAGTGTGCTTGACGACCAGTGGGTGGCCAGCCTGCTGGTAGCTTGTCTTCATGTAGAAATCCGCGAATTCTTCCCTGGTATTTGTTCATTCCTGCTGGCTCTCGACTACACGTTTGATAAGATCCCCTACTCAAGAGCCACGTAAAAAGCCAGTAAAATGTGGTGTATGCCTAGAAACGTCTTTTCACACTGCGCTGCTCATCTCCCCCCGCATAAGGACACTTCTCTATCTGATTAAAATATTAACACTGCTCCACTCACCATTAATGAAATGAGCATTGTAGAGGAGAGCAGGATCAGAAAATTTGCTCACTTTTCAGTGCTTCGTGGAGCATCAATCTCAACAGTCCGCAGCTTCATGCGCGCCTTCCATTGAATAATCCATGGGTGCAACATAGGAGTCATAAAACGTTCTAAAATAATCGCGTCATCTTCTTACATGACAAGCTCATTTTCCAATCAGTATTAAGTAAAGCTGGCAATTCGTAAGCAGTCACGCGAACTTGTAAGAACTCAGAAGTGACCCACCGTGGGTCCCGTACTGCGGCTCTTTTCTCTGTAGTCCCCTTCGATTCGCCAAGGCCTTCGAAGGGGGCAGCACGTTTTCCTGATAAATTTTCTTTGCTGCCCAAGCAACCTGGTCCCGCTCGCCTTAGTCCGGTTGTCCAGGTTCCCGGCTTCTTGCATGAGCCTGCAGTTCCGGATTATCTTACTCAACTGTCCGCAATAGAAGCAGAGCACGTGCGTTTATATAGGGCTGCCTGAGTATGCCCAGAAGAGCGTGCTCTTTAAGGCTTTCTTTTCTCGCCCACTTTCGACTGTGGACTATGGCCCGTGGTACAGCCCCGCTCTCCGTGTGTACTAAATCTTGACTGCACCTTTTCGGCAAATATGCAAGATGTGCATTTGCTTGCTCCTTAAGCCTCAAGTAGCTCATTCTCAATTTATCATACTTATGCGTACACGACCTACTGATAGGCTGTTTAGCTATCGAGTTGTTGCCATTCTGAGGCCAACTGACGGGAAACTTACCTCGGAAAGACCAAGGGTAAAACACTAAGCAAGCAGCGGTTCATATACATTGTGGTTTTTGTAAACTAAATCTCCCATTTCTGAGCGCATTGATCTATTGAGATATGGTGCTGTTCTCTTATTCTAAAATCTACGAAAGCTGGCTGTTGAGTTGATCTCGGCGTAAATCGACGAGTCAAGAATTGTATAAAGGCTTAAACTGTATTAAGCCCCGCAGGTAGAGTGCTTTCTCTCCCTCTCTCTTTTTGTGTGTCTCTGTATATATCGACGTCATCCAAATGTTTTTCCTCCGCTTAGGCTCACTGCAAAGTGCACTCATGCCTCTTTTTCCGGGTGGTACACAGCGATGGATATCACCACCTGGTGATTGAAATATTCGTAATGGCCGTCATGCTTTGGTGGTCGCTCTCACCAACCCATGTATGTATATAGATATATTTTACGATAAAAAGCATACATTTACAGTAGCTGTAAATCATGGGTTTAAGCTGCTTAAAGGCAGGCGTCATGCCTCCTTAATTTCTATCGCGACGGTGCTTTGTCCAGATTGCTGCCCAATTCAATCGAATTATTGTACCATCAAATAAGTTGATGACATTCAAAACACATGCCGTAAGAAAATCCGACATGCCACTGCTTTCTTAGCCAGTATCTGAACGCGGATAGCTTAATTGAACCATGTGGTGCTACCAACTCTAACGCTCCATCAAGGGTCTCTGTAGGAAGACACAGAACTCCAGAATCATTGCAACTTCAATACAACGCTACGGTGTTTTTTTCACAGAAGGGCTCCCCCCTTTCCCTGTATTCACCCTTCAGAGTTTCACAGAGAAACGGGAAAGGACAGCTAATGTGCATCTAGCTGCACCCTCTATACCCTTCAAGCATTCAGAGCTAGTTGAACAAAGCCTCCACCGCATCCATACACGTTGCGTCCTCTCATACGGAGCGGATAGTATTCTGCAAAAACAAGAATGTGCGAACGGCAAACAAATGTTTTTATTCCTTACTAACTCTTCATTAAAGTTACCTAGCTCAGTCGGCGTTTAATCATAGCTTAGCTTGCATAATAGCAGTTTAGTCAATCAATGGCTCGACCAGATACTAATTCTATTTTGCTAATCGTGTAATTTTCCTTTACCTAGGCTGCCTAAATTGGACTGTTATGAGCCAATCTCAAGGAATGATCAGTGTAGAAAGGGCATGCTTTTCCATTCAGCGTGCGCTACAGAAGTGGGTCTCCCTTACCGTGTGTACCCGTGCAGCAGCCACGCTTGCCACCATGCTGCCAAAAGTGGAAGCATTATGTCGTGGGGATAGATCGATAACAGCCAAATTATCGTGTACAGAGCACGCGGAGAGCGTCCATATTTATTGTCGCACGGTTGCCAACGGCGAATTCTCATAATCCATACATTCGCATTGGAGTGCACGTAAACCAATACTGCTTCTTCGTGCCCAGCAAGAAAGGCTTTCACCAGAAGCACGAAGAGCCGTCTAAACATACCCATGTTCGTGAGAAGCCTCACGCTTTTGAGGTCTCCTTCACTAGAAAAAAGGCTGGCCTTGTAAATGGTTGCATTCATGCGATCCATCAAGTTTGGGTGGCTCGTAGGAATAAAGGCGTACTTACTTCAAAGAGGACACTAATTGAATAAGTGTTCACTCTGTCCCATCGTCTCAGAGGAATCGTTGGCATTATAACATTTACCTTTGTTTACAGGCGGTCTGCTTGAAAACTTTCGGACCATTTTGTGAATCTAGCCCTCTTCTTCATTTTTCCAGTATCGCCAGAACGTTATTGGCTGCACAAAAGCAAGTTGGCAGCTGCGGCCTGGTTACACCTAAACCCAGCGTCATCACGTTTATACACGGTGCTGGGATCAAACAAGCATCTGCATTCAATCACCAATCCCCCGCTGGCATCCCCAGAGGACGGAATCACTTTGACTCAATTTTAAACATTCTAACTTTAGCGTATTGGTTAAAGCAGACTAATCGTCAGAGCAAGCTCCTAAAGAAAGCAAAGCGCTCAGGTAGAACTGGCTCATGGAAAATCCTTGGTTGCCTCAGATAACAAGCCGCTTACACTGCAACCCCCAAGCCCAACACATGAACGCTAAAAAGGCCACGTAGAGGCAAGCAATATGGTTTTACTTTCTCTTTGGCTTTACACCAGAGGTTCACGAGTTTGTTTTAGCCAGTATGACGAAAAGCCACTGAGCTGGAGTCGCCAAACACACCCTCTTTCAGGGTCTACGTACAGTTATCGATGTCTAAGTATTTTATACTTTGCCTACAGTATATTCGTGCACCCTTGGGCCCTTATGATTATCACTTCGTAGTCAGTAGCGAGACTTTTAATAAGATATCTTCCAGTCCTGGCCAAAAGACCTTGCCACAGCATGCAGAAAAGTTGCACCAAAGCGCTTAGGAAAATACATTAGCTTAAAAGACACATGCAACATGAGCAAATCAGATGAGATGTACAAGCTATTGCTGTGAGTTTTGGACTGGCTGCCTGCAAAGACCTACAGCTTCACGTTCGGTCGCCTCCTTGGAGTACTGAGGCGTTCTGTCACGAGATGCACTTCTGGTACTACGGCCATGTCTTAAGGGGAAGAGCTTTAGGACTATAAAAGCAGTCGTTTGAAGTGTGTCTTCCAAAGAAAAATGACATTTCTACCTAAGACCATAATGCACCCGCTGCATGCTTCGTGAGTTTTTTGTCTGAAGCGCAGCAGTTTTCTCCTAATCTGCAAGCTCTCGCTGTAAAACTGCAATCTCTTGCTGTAGATTCTCCACCTTGCCTTTAAGTGTGGCGTTTTCCCGTGTTAGGTTCTGTACTTCAGAGCGGAGAGCTTCTACCTCAACGCCTTGGAACACACATTCGCAAAGTCCATTCGTCCAAGTAGACAGCGATGCTCCATTGCTCGCAACTCAGCAGCAGAATGATTATCTTATTAAGTGCCGGGCTAAGCTTATTTTCGTGTCACTTGTTGGGGCTCCGAGGTGACACTTGATATAATCGAGTGCATTCAGTGGCCTTTCAGGAGCTTCATAAAGCCCAACGAGTACACGGGTGAGCTGACGAATAACTCCATGCTCCTCCAAATACTTCCTGAACGCTGCTTTGCCGCCGTCCATTGAGTCAGCCTTGTTGCTCATCTTCATAATTAATTAGTGCTCTGTCATCCCGTGCCTGAAGGTAATGAAACAAAACAAAACGGGACAAAAATAAACGAAGTGGCTCACGACATTAAAATTAACTGCCTGGAAGGGTCAACTGCAGAGGTTGAGTAATTATCCACAGTTCTTGCCTGCGTAAAGTTCGTTGAGAGTGCATTCAAAAACATTATATCAGCACGCCTCGGGAGACGGAAAACAGAAAAGCCAGTTTCTAAACCGTAATGGACATGGCTAGTTACCTCGCAACAGAATTTTTCCAAAGTGCATATAAATCTCTCTAACTTTGTCGACATAATTCCACCTGGTTGGAATTACCTCAAGTTCTGCAGAACGGTACAGGCATGCCAGCTCCTGGTCAAGTTCATATGGCGGCCTACTGGATGTCAAGCTGAGGATTAATGAGGTCGGCACATTTTAGCTATTGAGAGTTGCTCAGATCTATACATTCCAATGAAAAGCAGTGCAGGTGTGCTGTCACGAAGTCAAGCCTGCTGCTGTATTCCCCGCAAATGAGTCATGGACACGCGTTGATCAAGTATTTCGTATCTTCAACCTCTGACTAGAGAAGACTCTTAAAATTATAGGACGCGAGGTCACGCAGATTTCCTAGGTGTGTTCTATCCGATGGCATTGTAAAAGTGGAGCCTGCGATGATACTAAAGGAGCACTGTGAGCAACCCATCCACTTGAAGGAAGAGACTGAATAGGACTGGATTGTAACGCTCTCACTGGATGAGCCAGAAACGCAGACGAGTGACCCTAAAGTGTGCAATATGACGGTGTATGTATATACTGTGCTAAGTGGGCGAGCATGCCTGCCCGGTGGCAGGTTAGTTGGTCCACGCACCAGGAAACAAGAAAGCGGCTAGAATGGGTTTAAAATGAGAGCTGGAAGATTATATGCATGATTTATGCACGGCATTGGAGAAACTCATCCCATTTGAGACACCAACTACTCGGATCAGTGGAGCGATAGATCCACAAGCGCACGGTGCAAAACAGTGTGTTTAGGTCTTCAGCACTTGCCTGTCACTAATCCTTGGGATATTAAGTAAGTAAAATTTATGTCTATATGTAGAAAACCATCGATTAAAACAAATAAGCATTGCGGCAGCAAGAGGCGCAGCCGACAGGGTGCACAATATACGCATGCGCGTCCTGTCCCAGTACGATGAGGCACTCGACCGACAGTAATGAAGAGCTTAGGCTAAAGGATTTCCCATCTAAAATATAACAATGTGTATGAAAAAGAAACTATCGGCATTTTAGGCCTGGCGATGCCTTCAGAAGGTTGTTCGTGTACCTTCTATTTAGCTCTCTGTCAACCCAGTGTAGCTGTTGGATATGAAATAGATTACGATTACCCATCATCTATGTGAGCAAACACATGGCGGCCTAGTACATGTCAGGCAAACCTTTATTCGCCTGTCGTCTAATTTGGCTTACTCTAGGGAGGCGGAAGACCCATATTCGGTCTCTGCAGTCACTCAAAGTATTTTAACTGCGCGGTCATCCTGACTTCTGGCCAAGTGAGCTACCTTTAATGCCGGTCTGCATGCAACTCTATGCCTTTTGTAGCTTGAATTTTGTGCATTGTTGGCGTGCAGAAGGAGAAGGAGCATATTATGCTCATACTCTTCGTTGGCAACTACGCAGTGCCAGCACCGCTCTGCGCTACAGGCTTTCATTCACTAGAGAAGACCGGACTTTGCTTAGGCTGCCGTAGTACAAAAGGAAGGGACGCACTTTTCTTGACGTATGCGAGAAGCTCATTCTGTACAACAGGTGCTGTCATCATTTCTTTTACTTTCAAAGATTGTGGCTTTCACGTTCATATCGTAGTCCATTAGGAGGTGCAGACCATTAAACCAGTGGCACTGAGTTCCAATTAGCCAATTTGAAAAGATGAAAACTTTGTTTGCCCACATTAATCAGTTCACGATGAGTTTTTGCGTTTAGGAGAGAAGAACAACTCAGTTCAGTGGTGTAAAGGCGATGCAGGCATACGATGTCCACCTAAAGATAGCATATCAGTATTATTCCTTCCAGCTTGCTTAAAAAGCCCTGTTCTCTTTTCTTACTGACTTAAGTTTCACGTGCTTCAAATTGTGGTGCGCGCAAAGTCCACTGTCAACAATGTTCCTGTTCCTTCGAAAACACCAAAAGCAAGATGCTTGATTGTATACTTCCTACGAAGGATCACAAGCCAGCGAGTAAGCAATGGATCCCCCAGGCGCTGCACCAGTGGATATGCAAGGGAATATCGAGAATCCCCAAGCCTATTCAGTTGCGCATGCTGGTAGCAGCTTCCCCACTTCTCAATCACGAGCTATTCCGAACGCGTCCGATGCGACGCTGGATAATCCACTTGGGCGCGAGTCCCGAAAGCTACCCCTACAAAAAAGACTACAACTTGATGGAAAGAATGAAAGCATTAGACGAGTGTCAAAACGTGGCAGCACCAGAGTCCTTGTAGAAAAGACTAAAGAGGCCTTTCTGCTGCAAATGGCAGTAGATACTCGTAAAGCCGGTAAGTTACGTGAGCAGTCTTAACCACGAGAACATTCAGGGTTAGGCGTCGTCGAGATAGGAGTGTTCAGCAACCAGAAAGAAGACAAAACGTTTTTTGGTAACAGTAATAGGCAAGCTTATTTCTACCCTCTCAGAGGCTGCATACGCCCTGTCTGCACTTGGAACAGAAATATTGAAACTCCATGACAGAGCAGCAGAAAAGTCAGAGGCCCTGCGGGTGGCCGAAAATATGATATCAAAAAGCGCACAAAAATTTGATGAGTTTCTGAGGAGCAGCGATGCCGCTGCTCACGAAGCAATACACGTGAGCTGACGAGCGCAAAGGCCACATGTCCCTCTACACTTCAATTTGCCATGCAGCCTCCTCGCAACAAAATAGTGACCTGATATCTGTGCTTAACATGAATGTGATAAGAGAACAATTCTACATGCCAATATGGCGGAGACCGTTCGCAGAAGAGTGTGACGCGTTGTCAAGAAACCCTGCACAAACTTACATCAGGCAGACCTAGAGATGCATTGATAGTTATGGACGAGTAAAAGAAAGACTGTGATCTCCAAGACTTTTCGGCATGTATTGTGGTCGCAGAAAGCGGACGAAGCAGCGCGGGTTGCGCAAGAAAAAGCAGCCGCTGTCCAGCAGCTGCGTCAGAAACTAGAGTCTGCGAAAGCTCGTGCCGCTTCAAACAGCGAAAAAGTAGAGGAATACTCCAGATACAGAGCCTTTCTGGAGCACATCACTCCACACGTAAGTATTTCTCAAACTATGTGTGAACAGTTGATTCGCCAGCGTGCATCGCCGATACGAAGAGTTCACGTCCACCTGAACAACTTGGTCGAATGGGCACTCCTATGTAGGGTGCAGTTTGACTATTGTAAGGATCGCTGACTTCATTTCATGCATGCTTGCACAGGATTGGCTAAAAGACCAAGAGGGGAAGTCAAGGGAGAGCGTGCAAAAGCTAAAACAGCAGTGGGTGCAGGCGCAGCTGCAGCAGCAGCAGCTACAGTATGCAACAGATCTGGAAGGGATTGACAGCGAGCTGAAGGAAAAACTGAAGGAGTTGGAAAAGAAGCCACGAGACTCCAAAGCCAGTGAGCAAGAATAGATCTTTTCATTCTCCTGCTTGTAGCGGTAACCCGCAATCCACAATGACAACCAGAAAGAAGAAATATGCGATACCTTACTGGGAAGTGATGGACACTGAGAGAACAAGAACCCAAAGCAGAGCAGAATTCTGCGCAATACGATTCCCTCCGCACTTGCCACATGTGCGGTTCAATGAGCTTGTGCCGCCCTTTAATTCAGTGCTTTGGGACTCTGCAGACGCTGCTCTCCGAAAGGACATGGAAGAGAAGGCTGAGAAGAGGAAACGGCAATTAACCGGAAAACTAAAATCGGTAGCGGAGCTTGAGGAGTTGTTTGAGTGTAAGAATCTAATCATTGAAAGCCTTATTGTTCGTGGAACTTGAAGGGCGCTACACTGTTTGTTCTGAAGGCAGCAATGTATGCCGATTGCAATGGATGCTCATTCTATCCACCCCGGCACGGATAGGGTGGACTACTCCAGTCACAATGCACTGCATTTTGCCCGTGCATTGCTGAAGTAGAGGTTTGTTCGTATCGCATATCTATTGGTGTTGGCCTCCCTGTAGCGGAAAAGCTGGCACTCACGGGCTCCCACCTTTACTTTCAAGATCCCCAAGAGCCCCTTCGCCTATTTAGAGAGCTGGAGGAGGAAAATCTCTTTTTGATTCAAACTGCCCACGAACATGCTATTGTGAGGGTGACAAGACGCAGCACGCAATACCTCAAAGTGCCAGGCCGCTAACGCCGAACTCTCAACAGCTTTGACTAGCATCGAGGGCGGCCCATCTTCCGCTGTCATCTTATCCGTTTTCCTGTCAAAGTCGACTAAAATTTTCGATAGCTGTGCGTTTGGTGTAATTGGGCAACTGCGCTAAACAGGAGCTGGAAGCAATGGAGAAACGATTCGCCGGTACGCGAGCAGAGATGAACGCTCGACTGGAAGGACTAGAGGCGGTGATTACAGAGCTACAGGAGCAACTCAAGCAGCAGCATCGAACGTGCAAGCAATACCGAGGCAAGCTGGTCGTAGCCCTGTGCTTCTCAATTTTGTTTCAGTAGAGTGCATGTGCACATTAGCGGGAGGAGGTGTTTCACCTTCTAAACATAATATACCTGGCCGCATACCACCAAGTAGAATGTCTGCGGTAGGGCATAGCACAGGCACGGCATCCCTTCCAACAATAAAGGCTTTCCATTGACACCTTAATCGCCTTCTTACATCCGGTGCTTATGCTGCAGAAGTGCTGGCCTTGCAGGAGCAAGAGTCGGATGTGTTTGTATCTCTGCAAAAGTTGACTGCCCACGTCGCTGCAATACATGCTGCATGCAATTTCGACAGTGAGCACTCTAGACTGAGGCTGCTCTTGTGCTTACATGAAAACTCACCTTTCTAGCTTTCCCACTCACGTAGGCACTTTGCATATATTATATGTAATCCAGCATTTTTCCACTCTGGCACCTTCCTGTCCAAGAACAGTAAAGACATAATTACAATCCAGTGTGCTCGTATGAAGCCATAAAGCTTTATGTTCAGACCTGGTTTGCTGCCCTGTGCAATCAGAGGAAGGATCGGTTGACTGCTTGCGCATGCTAGAGCAGATCGAAGCCAGGCTTGACTCGCATCTCGCAGCTCTCGCTAAGCACGAAGGCAAGGGCCCACTGTCTCTACGCAGCATCTTTACCCAAGTAACACACTACCATTACCCTTTAATACTGCAGCTTGCAATCTTCATTTCCAGGGGCAGCTGTCCTGCACAAATGAGGACTGAAATGCTGCAAGTCGGTGCCAGCATTTCAAGTAACATAACTACGTTGGTCCCGCAGCTGAAAATCCGGAGTTGGTTCACCACCTGGAAAAGGTCAAGGAAAAGCAACGACGCGAGAAAGCCCGTCAAGAAAAGTTAGCTCAACAGCATTTAAAGAATGACGAAAGGCTGCAGGCAAGTTTAAGGGTACCGCCAATATTGGGGGTGTTTGAAGTGGTGTAGCTTCCCACATGCAGGGGCATTGGACGATAAATTGCAACATTAGCATCGATATATCAATGTTTTCTAAGTAAAGTATGTGAATTTCTATGTAGCTATCACTGCGCAACTCTGGTGAAACACTTGCGATGAGATCGCGGCGGCCTGTGATGTTTCGCTCCAAGCCGTTTTACAAACGGGAAAAGGTATGACAATACAAGCATTAACTAACTACATCCCCGTGTGCAGGTGGCCTATTTGACAGTCCTATTTTGTGCATCCTGCAATGAGCCTAACAAGTGGATAGACCCTGACCTTCCCACAGCATGTAAGCGCTCTAAAGCCTTTTCCTTCGGTCCCTGCTTACCTCTAGGCGACCATAAAGGAAAGTGGAGAGTCCGAAGCGGCCATGGATTACAAGCTATACTTTCAGTAGCCACGGAGACGTCGTGTTCGCCTTGGCTCATCCGAGGCATCCGGGGTTTTGGCTTGCCTCTGACTGGGTGACCAGTGAGCAAGGAAAATGAGTCGTATCACCCTGCGAAACACTGGGTGGCCTTGCCTTTTTCCCCACGCTGCTTCTGGAGTCAATATCTAAGCAATTCTGCTTATTCTAAAAAGCATAGATGTTCCAGCCTAACGCTTCGTAGGGTACTTGCGGCTGCTCCCGACATTGTTTTCTAAGCCAGCGCAGGTGTATCTGTCCAAATTGGAAGGAAGAGCACTTGAATAACATAGGCGGTTCTCTGGAGACATTTTACCTTTATATCTCCTTAGTGCAACTCATTTTGCCTCTTTTTGTAAACAATCAGCCTGCACAGAAGGCATTAGTCACCTGAAAACCTCTGGAGGGCAGCGGAATGAGAGAGGTATTTGCGCTATGGCCCGAAGTCAGGATAACCCAAGGTGTACCGGTTTCTAGCCATTGAGTGTTTGCTACTAAACGAACAAATCGACCACCTAAGTAATGGAACGCTAGAAGCCATGGAAACATGGGTGGATAGCGCCCTCGATACAGAAGAGTGCACGTTGCCGGTTGTCAGACCACAAACGGATTCCTCCCCCTGCCTTATATCGAGAATGTGACTATCTTTGTGGAAAACGATCTACGACTAAAGTTTGGTTGATGCTGATAATGACTGTGCTTTGTGTACTTCAGCAGTCTCTGTCCAGAAGTCTTCAGTACTACTCTGGGTGCATTTATCGAAGAGTAGTTATTTTGCTGTCCAGTCAATTGAGAGCTTGTCAAGCAGAAGCTACAAGCCATGGTTCTGCACTCTACAACATCTGGTGTGTTTCTGCATCTTCCTAGGAATCTGGATGGATTTGTTGTATGAGAGGGTACATCATGTGTTCCAAATACTAATACTGTTTAACAGGATTGCAGCTCGGTTCAACCTTTTGTTTGTCATCCGCTTGACCCATATGGAGTCCCTGCTTCAAGGCTGCTTGTAGATGCATCATCAGACTGCCAAGCAAAAGCTTGAGCGTCTAAGGCTGATGATGCCTGGTCCGATAATAGCTAATGTATTTCAGCCGAAGTGTATTGCCAGTAGTTTCATGTAAAAGCACAAAATTCGCTACACGGCATTTAGGCACACATCAATTAATCAAGGAGCCAAAGCCTTCTAGCCACAGCACATACTTACAAATCACACAAGGAGGCATGTGATGGAGAGAAGCGACAGATGGTAGGGCAAGGTAAAATCTTAATGGACGAAATTGATTCACCTAAACACCTTATCTGAGAGAACTGAGCACCGCTGGAAAGCCTAAGTTCAATGGAAAAGAGCGTATAGAGGCTCTGATTTCTTGCAAGCACTGGCGGCTGCCCACCGATCCCGCGGGACAGACAACTTTGTTTTACCAAGAGCTCGTACAAAGCGGGAGGGTTCCTACTCTTAACCACACCATATATAAATAGAACGAAAACACAGGCTAACAGAAAAACGGTTTCTACACCACTACCTATGAGTGGCCAGCACTACATGGTAGTAAAACGTGCATCAGCCCATGAATGCCCTTGACAGCTACATGCCACGCATGCTATACTAGGTGTGCTGAAAACATTTATAACGCAAATCACGGTGATTCAGCCTTAATTTTTAAGGATGGCGCTTTATAATTTAGAATTTCCAATGATTCCCAAGTTCTTTCAGGAAAACGCAGCCAAATAACCATATCCTACAGACACCAACTGGCACTTCACAAATTGATATCAGCAAAAAGCAATTTGACTTGTTCCTTCCAGACAAAGCCTTCATCGTTCATGAGTCCATTTGTCAGCTCCGTGTTTAATTATTACGATGCAACCAGCATTATCCGGATGCAGGTCTGGTCAGCGCTTTAGAGGCTCAATGCATATTGCCGCTGAAGTGGAAAGCAGTGAAGGTGAGCTGGTATGTCATGTATTTTCCCTTTACATTCCGGAATCTGTTGAGCGGATCCGCAAATCCAAGGCGCCACAAAGCGCCACGGGCGCTGACTGCAGTGGTCCGGACGCGGTTAGCACGCGTGGTGATTGAATGAGGTGTGTGGGCATGAGTGCACTACCATCTAGATACTGCGGTAGAGTATGTGCTTGAGGGACCTCCACTGAGTGCATCATGGCTGTTTTCTCTGCTAGATGGGGAGCTGGTGATAAAGAGGGAGCTGGTGATCGAGTCAGATGTGCTGGATAAGCGATTGACAGGTTGGATGAAAGCCAAGGATGCCTCGCATAAGTATCAGCAGTGCATAAGTCCCTGCAGGGGCCTTGGTGCGTGCCGGTATACGAGCAGCACGGATGCCCCTCAGGAGTCCCACAACCTGGAGGTCTAATAAGTGTTACCAGTGGCGGAACCCTTCGATTCCGTCTTCGACCAGAACGCATTCGACGAGGCAACGTCTTGAGTTTTGCATTCGCAATTCTGAGGTCTTCTTGAGCTTCCTCCAACGTCCATTCAGCCATTCCCATTGTAACTTTATCTCGTGGCTGCAAGAAGTGGCAGTTGACCTGCGTAAAATGGATACGCTAGAAAGGCACACCCCGAAGGGCTTGTCTAAGCTCAACATCAACATGCACATTGGAGAGCTGCGAAGCACTTCACAGTATCATGCAGTGCCAAACTTCTTTCTGAGTCAACATAACAATGCTGCTACTTCCTACGCGTCATATTTAGTTGCCCTGTGATAGCTAGCCAATAGAATTTTCAGTGGAACTCTGTAGTGACATGAGCCTGTTTGCAATTCTCACCACACAAAATTCGACAGCTTTCCATTTATGAGGCTTCGATACAGATTTGCTTACTTGATGTAGCTTGCATTGTGCCGCATGAATGAATGCTCCTGCAGCGAGGCACCGAGCAGGGGCATCGGCTGGTGGAGGTTCGGGTGAACTCAGGTAGTATTCGTACGTTAGTGCAAGGTCGATGATACATGCCTCATGCTTGATTTCAAGATCTTCGAAGATTTTTCTTGCTCTTGCCATGCGTCTGGCCATTGGAGGGTGTTTATGGCAGTGGCACCCACAGCATATTTTGCTACAACACGAGCGAATCTTTGACTCAAACCTCCCTCTATTGCGAATCCATTTGTGGCGGGCTGCTTGGGCTTTGCGAAAGGCTGGCGCAACGGCTAAAAACGAATCGATTGCCAGATGGTAATGCCGGCAAGCAGTATTGACAAAGCTCAAGTCTACTCGACACCGTCCATGAGTTGCGAAAGGTGCAAGGAGCCGTTCAATCAGCAGAAGAGGAGCTTCTAGATGGTCGAGTCCTTTCATCAAAGCTAGCCTCTCTTTGGCCAAACAGTCCCCAAACGTCAACACTTCTTCTCTCATACGGTGTGCTGCAGCGAGTAGTAGTGTCCTTCCGGCATCGCACATCACCAGCCGCGCAGCGGTGCTGAGACCGAAAGCTTCTTGTCGTTGCTTAATCTGGATTATCTTCTGCCCTGTGCTTCGTTTTTTCCCGTCCTCATACGGGAAGTAATGTCCATCTGTACCAACCGCACATGATGGTTTATCACAAGTAAGTTAGCACAGTAGTGCAGAAAAGTCTGCTGGCTGCCCCAGTGCAGTGGTCAATGGTCCGGGTGGAGTGTAGCGTTGGCGTGTGATGCCAAACGGGCATGTACTTATTGGACGGCACCTTGGATCAGCTAAATTATCAACAAATTAGCTTAATACAGCCAACTTGCAGTATATTTCTATTAGCTCCGTGTTTCGCAAGCTAAATCGATTTGGCTTACCGTACCGCGAGTAGTGCCTCCTACGGCCACGCGTGTGACGATGCCCAATCCCAGCCCCCATTATCGGAGTACCATAAGAACACGCAAAAACGAACCAACTATAAATGGCAGCATGGGATCATGATTAACGCGTGGAATAAGTACAGTAGTATCCCTTCGATCAGATTCGCATATGAGTCTTGCTATGGAGCAAATGATTCCGCGGTGGCAGTGCCCACCTCCGAGTTCACAAGGCAAGTGTAACATAGGGAGCTTTTCCTTCCAACTAAAACTTTATTGCATCTTAATTACGTCCATTTAAATAAGGTGGACTCAATATTTCAGTCCGTTAAGCCCTGTACGACCTAGTAGAGGAAACTTGTAGGGGAAATGACACAGGAGAGCGCCCAGCCACCCTTTGCTGTTGTGAATGTGCGCATGGGTTCCCGAAGTGTACGGGTGCTTAGAGTTAGTGACTATAGTGTATACATAGCCTATATACTATGAGGAACTAGGCTGTCTGGGAAATTGGGAAACTGCCGCACGAAAGTCATGCAAGAAGGAACTTCGAGTCTGGGGCCCCAGCGGTGCGGGCGGTCTGGAGCGTCAATATACCTCAGTGTCAGACATAGCTAAGTCAGCTCCGTAGAGTTGGCCGAGTACAGTTCATATCATTCAACTGGTAAGGACTTACAGCGGCATTTGGCGGGGCTCTATTACCGCCCTTTTCAACAAGGTGCTGCTTGGTGCCCCAAGCCAAGCTATATCTTACAAGGGGGCTGTAGAGCTCTAAAACTATGCAGAGGCATAAAACTCGTGTAACGGAGACCATCCAGGGGCCCCCAAGCTCTCGATCTGTGCTCATGGCTGGGGCCCAAACTGTTCTCGAAGCAACCGCTTCACGCATTCGGCATGAGGTGAACTGGTTCGATGGTGATTTGCTGGATGAGAAGCTTCTTTTGCTCCAACAAGTGGAGCATCTTGATGCCTCTTTGTCGCTACTGGAAAGATTGCTGCCAGCGGGGGCGGATACCGATGTCAAGGTGCTGTCACCTGAGGAACTTTGTGAGGCCTGTGGCCACATGAGAATGGCCATACACACGATGCTTGCCCTTGCACCCAAGTTTAGAGAATCAACCCATCACAACCTGGTCAGACAATTCGGCTCTGGTTCCTGTAGCATATTTGACTTCTGCTCAAAGCGCCGCGCTGCAGTTGAGCTACCTCCACAGAAGCGAAGGAGCCGCCTCCGCGTGCAGCTTGACAAGCTGGAAAAACAGCATGAGGCGTGCCTGCTTGACTTGCTTCTTTCATTTGAACATTTGATAACACTGGCAGTGATACCTCCACCAGATGCACCATCGCGCTGTGCTGAAGGCAGTCGATACGTATTGGCCGGTCAGGCCAAACTACATGAGTCGCATGCAATGCTTCGCCAGCTTCTGGTAGAGGAGGACGATGTCTTACTCCCTATTCTCGAGTGGCAATTGGGTGCAGCGACGTCAGATTTGGCAGTCGCCCGTGCAGTGCTAAACCGCCTTCCAAGGCCATCCACAAGCTGGACAAGGAATAAAATCAAAAACCACTCACCTGCTCCAGCTACGGTTGGAATCCGGTGTGAGAGCAAAGCAAGCATTGTTCATTGTCATTCTCCAGGGGAACCGAGCATAAGATTCGATGACCACAACCTACGCACTTCTCCCACAGAGCCTAGTCCCCATGAAATACGCACTCCCGTTTTGGCGGCAAACCGCTGCTTCGAGAAAGACTACTGCATGGCCGACAGCTCGCAGAATCCATCCTCCTCTGCTACCCCCTTTAACAAGCCTTGCGACAGTATGCTGCAGACAGATGGCTTCTGTGACTGCAACAATGGCATCTCAAGCATGCGCAATTGCACCTCTCTTCCTGACCTTGGTGCCCTAGGGCCGTGCAGCGCATGCTGCTCAAAGGATGGAGACAGACAACATCAAGACCAAGCTGCTAAACGGTACAGATGGAATGCATTAGAATGCCAGACTGGAAGGGGTGTATCCCTCAGCCCCTACGAACCCACTGCAGCATGCTACACTTCGTGGAATTCAAGGGTTGGCAATGCCTGCTGCCAAAGATAGCAACGAACGTGGCTCAATGTAGAGAATACCAGAGGCTTTCCTTGCATCCCACCATCGCAACTGACTCTTTCCCATCCCAGATTATGTGTTCACTGTTTATCCACGTTCCAGAAGGCGTGTAACACCCGCTGTCTAAAAGCTGTGCTATCCCGTGTAAGTGGCGTAGTGGCCGTTAAACGACACTAAACGCTGGTTTCCAACATTCTCGGTTTCTAGTTGTAAAAGTCTATCTAAAATCTTCATTGAAAGTAACTTCATCTCCAAGCTCAAGACAAAAATAGAAAGTTATTGCTGCGCCTTTTCAAATGAGCTTCCTCACTCCCGTGCCCTGGCGATTCACAGTTTTAGCGTGGGGAAAAGGGGACAACTATGATTCGCTCGCCTTTAGAATGTAAACACTCTATGTATCAACAGCCAGTTGAACACGGCTTCTAGTACAAACAAATACACACATTAATTTTTTTGTACTGAACTGCGACTTTTCTGGATTAAACAATATCAGCAGCCATCCAAACTCGAACGGTAATTCTTTACTGGAAGTGAAGCCTAAATACGAGCTTCTATGTGCAGTATTCCTAGGTCTAGCTTGGCCCCTTCTATCTTCCCATTCCTATTTCAAACAATGCTAGATCCTTGCCTCATGATCACAGTTAGGGATGGTTGAGAACCCAACAAATCGTGAAAAGGCCCAACTATGGTAGCTTCGACGCTCAATAGGCTATGCACTCCTGGCCAGGTAGATCCTCTGTCAGCCTAGTGCCATAGCCCTCAAACTTCCTCGATACAGAGTGTTATTGGAATGGCGCTTACCGATGAGTCCCTGTACTACTTCGAGCTTGTCCAACATGGCGGAGTACCAAGGATCTTTATTACAGGCTGAGCTCGCACATGTGGAGGTCCTTCCAAAACCGTGCAGACTCCAGCTCGAAAAGAGTCGGCATTTATTAAATCAGTGAGGACCCTCTATGAAGGACATCTCCTCTTACATTTTCACGCCCTTCTGGCATAGCCGGTACTCGCTTGCGAGTCAGATCCCAATGCCATTTACAAGGACCTTTGCCACTAGCAACAGTTCAGGGGTTCAAGAGAGCCGCCAACTCCATGGGAGTTCGGCACTTGAAGACTGCTCGATAATCGGTGATGGTCTGAATGTACACGCATTCCAGTGTGCATGTCAAGTTAGGGCTTCGAGGCAACGCTTCCCCATTGACCCTATTGGCGTCAGTACAGCTTGCCACAAGCAGCGAGCTATACAATAAATCTTCGGTAGCAGCTCATTCTTTCAGCCTGTCCCTAGTTCAACTCGAATTCCTTGTCAAGCTTGCAAGTGGGGGAAGGCACAATAATTACACCACAGGGACAATGGTGTCTCTTTCCGCAATAACTTCAGCCAGGCATAATCCTTGATAGCTTGCGATGTTGGTGATCATGCGCGGCAAGTAGTATCTCCCTAAAAAGTATGTAGCTCCAGACTCAACGCAAATTTAATTGGAAGATATTGAGTGTATCTCAAAAGAACCCTGGCCTTTCCCTGCACAGGCCTCCCAGAGGGTCCAACATTAGACGAAAGAGATAGCTAGAATGTTCCCAGATCGACGCTTTTAGCACTACAAGTAATCACTGCTAGTTGACTTATTATCTACCCTGGTCGCACGCAACAATACCTCCTCTCGTGTCGAGCAACAGTACCCTCCCCTATTTCAAAACACATACCCACGTATTCCATCCTGTGTGTCGTGACCAACTGCATGCAGGACAGTGGAAGAACTCCTGCTCTATCGCCACTCTTCAGGCAGGCAGAAACACGGAGTGCACCGCGACAAGGGAAGGTAAAGTGTGCATCGGCGGGCAAGGAAAAGTAGGAGGGAAGATAGACATGCATACTCACTAACAACGAGCGACAGAGCAAATCAACACAACCACGGCGGTGCCATGACTCGCTGTCGTCAGAGCGCCGAGGTGGATAAGTCTCCTGCTACGAGAAAACAGAAGAACACTGAATGTGTTATAGGAATCAAAAGCACACCATCCCAGACGCAGCAGTGCGTCCGCACCGAACAGGACACTGTCTGCATGCAGATCAGCTCGAAGTATGAGAAGTAGTTGAGTTCAAAGCCTCAAAGATGCGTAAGGGAAATCTAGGGACAACATACCTCAGAAGGCGTGCGCATATAAATAAGTGTAGCGAACGCCTAAAAATAATGACTACAAGCTTTCCCAGCACCCACTAGATGAAGGTAGCTAGTGCACGCACAGCAATGGCTGAGAAAGGACAGTTACCGAGGTACCGTCCAGTGCGGCTGCCGTCGCTAGCCAAGCAAAGTCACAAAGTCTTCCGCAGGCAACGAAGTTCGCAACTGCTTTCCATTAGTCGCTGAGGTTGGCGTTTTCCAGCCCATTTTGTTTGAAACTTTCGTATACTGTGTCATTGGCTCTCAAGCGCTCTAGAAGTCAACAACTCTACAGCATCCTGGGGTGTCTGTGCCTCCATGTGGATCAACCGCCTGTGTGAAACGGTCTGCGGGCAAATCCAGGCAGCTTTTAAGCTTTTTGGAGCAGTCAATATTGATAGCTATGTGGCAGCACCTTCTATTAAGGAAATCGGAAGAGTAAGAAAGAACATCGTTTGTGAGAGAATTACAAATGTTCCTAGGCACGCGGCTGCTAGGTTTCGTCGTCTGGTCGCCTTTTGGTGCACCTCAAAGCACAACAATTATGTCGATTTGCCTAGACCAAATATGCAGGCTTGAAGTGCACAGCCGAGTGTCGCTTATGATCATGTCGTGCGGGTCTCCAGATATCTTTGCGCATTGTACACTAGCCAAAAGCTCTCTAAATGCCTCAGCTGCTGAGGGTGGCTGCTAACCCCGGAAGACTAGATCTACGACCGTATCAGACAGGGGCTCCGGATTTTAGACTAGGAATGCGGGAGAGCTAGACAAGTGTACGGCTGCATGAGGAATCGATTTAGCATGAGGGGAAAAACCACGCCAAGCAATTGGATTTTTGTAATCATAGAGTAACGAATACTGCAAAAACGTTCGGTAGGTGCGCCCTGTCTGCCCATCTGTCTCATGGTGGTTCGTAGCGCTCATGCTGCAGTTCGTCGGTATGCGGATCATCAAGGCAATCCACAACACGCTAACAAACTTTGGATCCCTATGCAGAATGAAAATTTTGAGGAATGCGCGAACCTTTCAAGCATGCAAAAAGGATTCTGTGGTTTGAAAAAAGCTCATGGGTTGTATAATTTGGTGACGAAGTATCATGAGATTTCAAGTTCGCCTAATTACAACAAAAAAGTACCAAATCTACCTTGAGCGACTCGTTAGGCAATAATTTTACTAACATTTGTACCAATGCAACAATTAGGTTTTATTGTTATGCCACGTAAAATTCCTGATTATACTGACTATGCAATTTTCTTGAACAGAATGTGTTCTATTGAAGCGTGAGCCATCCCGTATATGGAGCACAGGATGTAATAGAAAAATCTACTTAGTCTGTTGCAACCGCAACGACCCTTAACCTCCGACAATGCAACGAGAATTTCCAAAAACACATTAACCACGATACGTTTAAGAGCCAAAATGCTTTGCGAAAAGCTGAATTTACGAAAATTGTATGGCTTCAGGTGCTGACGGTTTTGGCATGACAGTACATACTGCTCTGCCGCAGGATGCATCCAGGCCACCAGGAAGGCCGTGCGGGGGTATTCTTTGTAGCGGGAGCTGACACATAACCTAACAGACAAGGACTTTCGCTCTATGCAAAGCGGCATTAGGAGGCGAAGTCGAGATGCACACGCGACGGACTTCCCACGTTGTTGTGAGCCACAGCATGTCACATTCGACTTTCCAGTATTCCACCTTTCTACTAAACTGAATTTTGTCGATTACTCAGTGTACACGGGCATCACAACGCAATTACGCGTAATCGCGACAGTAACTGCGAGCTTTGTTAAGTAAATTTGTTGCGCTGCACAATGGTGAAGCGCGAGGCGTCGCGACCAAGTTGGAGATGCCCCAGACAGACTACCCTGTAAAGTTGTACTACAGGAGGTGGCAAAGAACTCTATGATCATTAAATTCGAGTAAACCCTTTCACAGATTGAGTAAAGCGCATAGTCCGTGAGAACAGCAAAACCTTGCCCCTATACGTACTGGAGCCACCTTTCTAGGCCTCATTACACAGCAGACTTTTTCACACTAGATAGCACTGTTCGTTCTTGGTAAAGCGATTAGAAGCAAGTAAAATGTTGATGCCATCGATAGCCAGAGGTTTTGGAATAAAGTAACATTTATCGCTACGCCGCTAGCATCGATGGCTAGACAGAATGAAGCTCATAACCAAGCGGTACGAGTAGCAGAGAGGGTATATGGCGGTTAAAAAGCTTTCTTTATGCGAAATTAGCCTCATCTGTGCAGGTCACATACTGCGTTTGCCTAGCTCAATTAAATAAGCAGTGATGCAAGCAAGCTCAGGAATAGAATCCCAACAATAAAGTCAAGCCCATAAAGCGCCGCAACATCTTTGCAGATGCGTCGGGTGAAAGGTGACCATTTGTTTGGCTAGGATTTTTTGTATTTAGCCCAATTCCTGCAGCCAAACCATCGCATCTTAAATACCAGGTGTTCCTATTAAAAGCAAATACTTGCGTGCCTCCACATCCTACAGCTTGCCGTGCAGCGGCCAAAGCACGTCTCGTAAGCAGTTGAGGTGCTCGTAAACGCCTTGGTTAAAGACTGAGACATGTTTCATGTAAACACCCATCCACCCCTCTTGGATGTGCCCATTTTTTTTTGTTTTCCAACGAATCTCAGCTAGAACATTTAAGAGTCCAAACAGCTTACTGGCGTACTCAATACGGCGAGTGCCAGCGTAAGGTGCCGTTTTGTACCTGTTGTCTGGGGGGAAGGGGCTCTGTAAAAGAGACCACTGGTAAGGTCGTATGCCGATTAGATGGTTAGCCGGCTTGGTCCTGAGTACTGCGCCAAAAAGGCATTGGGACCTTGTGGCTCACAGTGATCTTGCTCCGAAGCTTGAAGCGACCTTACGTCCTTTTAAACACCAACCTCGGGTAGCAAAGCTGCTGGTCGAGTCCTCTGCTTTGGCTTTTCTCAACGAATTACTACCGTACAATAGTTTTTGCGTTATGCTTCCGCTACCGCGGAAAATGGTCTAGAACTGGCCCATGAATTAGCTAAATACGCATTGCTGGAGGACCAGCAGGTGGGCAACGTAGTGCCAGCTCATCTTTATATAACACCTCCGCCCATCCCTTCCTCATATTTGCCCATTTCTGCACTTCTTGACGGCTTACTTTTTAACTGAATGCCTTGACTGAAGGCAGATACATGCGTAGAATTTTCTGCTCTTACTGCACTGCTCAGCCGCATGCACGAAAACCCTGCTTGACGTTGCTGTGTCACCAAATCGACGTCGCTCGATACAGGTCAAATCAGTGCGGCTGACCAAACCAGCACATTTTCCCTCTTAGCACTTCCTGGCATACCATTCGTCATACCTTGCTGCAGTAACCACAACGCGCCTTCCATCGAGTCACCCCTGACATACCTACGATACGTTGCGGTGTACGGGTTCAAAATGGAAGTCATGGACCATGCTGGAAGGACCTATTTACAAGGTGAATTGTCATCCAACTGCTGTTGCTCTGCCATTTCTTGCGTGTCCGTCAGCAAAACCTGAGTCTTCACTACTGATGTAGAATTACATCAGTACGCAACTAACTTGTGGTGGGTCCCCAACGCCTGCTTCCTCCTTTGTAGCCCCCTTCAATGCCCCGCAACTTGCGAAGAAAACATTCTGCTTCCCTGGTGCATCTTCTGTGCTCGCCAAGCAGCCTGCTTCGCCTGTATCCAGTCCAGCTCAAGCTATTTGGCCTCCTATATGATATTGACGTTTCGAATGACATTACCTTTTACCGCAATATAAGCAGGTTTCTCGATGTAGGGCTGTGGGAGACTGCTTACGAGCGCGGGTTTTCCAACTCTTTCTTTGCTCATTTTACCGTAGACTGTGCCTATGGCTGATTAGGACAGCCCCGATACCCATGGTCTTTGGATTTCAGCTAGAATTTTCCATTTCAGCTAAATGCGCAGGAGCTGTGCTCAATTGCTCTTGAGGCCCCAATCAGTCGATTGCTGGTGGAGGCCCAACCGGTCATTTGTTAATCACTAAGTCGCTGACTACCCTGCGACCAAATAACACGACATTTACCAAGGGAAGACCTGGTTAGATCACTAGTCAATCAGCTACTCTTTTCACTGTGGATTTGGAAGCCACGGTTTCATTTTTCTGGGGACACTATCTTGCGGAGAGATTTTCCTCCTTCAGCCTTCTGCATTCTACGAAAGCTTGGTAATGCACTGACCTTGAATTAAGCCTATGCTTCAGTGCCTAAATAAGGGTATCACGGTGTTGAACGCTGAAAGCGAACGAGATCAGCGTGCGCAGGAACTTCTGCAGTCCCGACAGGCGTTGCGTCACCTTCAACTTGTGTCAGGTGAGTTTTCCTTCCAGTCTGTTGCCAATAACAATCAAATTACTGCATTACCAGATAGTCTGACCAATATCAGACAAATATTTTGAGGGAAACCGCCATCCTACCGAATCCACAGCTAGTCGATGGATGGCAGACAACTGCATGGAACCATGTGGTGATACCAACTGCAGGGCTCCACATACAGTCTCCATAGGAAGATGCTAATTTCCAGATTTAATACACACCTAGGAGAAAGCCATTGAATGTTTCTTGAAAGAACTTTAGTATTATTGTGCGAATGCCCCTAAATTTCGACATAAGAAAGAGACAGCTACGCTGCCCAAAGCTGCACTTTTAAAGCACTCCGGGCACTCACAGCGAGTTTGCACAAAGCATCTAGCAAGCAAGCACATGGAGCTGCAATCTGTATTCATCAACCTAGCTGTGTTATGGAAGAAACATAGTATTCGGACTACCAAAAGGCTTAGTCAACTTTCTACTAATTCTTAGCTGAGTACAATAAGTGCAGTAGAAAACGCGTAAGTGTAGCTTTTACCCGCTACAAGTGGTGACAGAATTTTTCTCTATCCACTCAGAGCTCTTCATCGTCGGCGCGTGGGTAAAACTGCAATCTACCTCATCTTCTGCAGGAGGCCTTTTTGTCTTGATGGAGCAACATCATTTTTTTCATCCCTCTGTTCCGACCATACAATTTGACTGCCGTATTCCTTCGAGACTACTCAGACAGAGCGTCTTTGGCTCAGTCTCTCGTAGCCTTCTATCGGTGTGCAATGGGTTCAAAGCTGTCCAGTACCCGATTACTTGAACTGCAGAAACCCTGACTAGAGTGCCGCTGAAAAACCCAAGAAAACATTACGGGGAGTCCTCGTGCTGACAAAGTCATGTTTTGGTGTACCTTTTAGTATGCCATCACACTTTCATTGAGCCATTCAGGGCAATAGGCCACATGCGCCAGATAATCGTCGGCATGTGTTTTCCTGTTCCACAAGTTGGAATGATCAAAAGCCGCTGCTTTCCATCAGTTGAATTTGTAGCTTCGTAAGTTTTAGATCAGCACCTGCTCTTTCGTGCTGCAGCTGCATTTTATAGCTTACAGTTGCAAAAGGAATTTCCACATAACGCGAAGCCCCCGAGCCATGCTCCCCAAACGGCTCCTCGTCTCCGTACACTTCTACTACCTTCCTACGCTTACTTAAATCGAATGCAGCATAGGGTTGATTTTTCAGCGTAAATACAGTTTTTATGTTAGCTGATACCCATGGCTACTCCTAATTTGTCGTGCATTTGGAGATCCCGCAGGTTTTCCTTGTGTACAGGGGGGTCCAAAAAACTTAGTAATCTATGCAGGTTCACACTTGTGTGGCCTGTGCCATACTATTTTTTTTTTAATTGTCATTAATGACTGGCAATCACAAGCAAGTGTATTTAATCTGGTGTGCAGCGACGGAGCTCTGCTTGACCTAGCTGCGTCACTACTTAGTTACGAGTTCAGAAATCTCCTTCCCCTGCTTCATACATGTGGCATTTTGAATCTCTTTAATTATCTAAATGATTATTGTGGCGAGGCAACACACCTTTAGAATGATCATGCCAGTCGGCTTAGCTTCCAGCGACAGCCCCACCGATCTTCCCCCGAGCATGATAAATAGCAGTTTCAATAGCATGCACAAATTTACAATAGTGCTGTGTTTTGTCGCACTCACTTTTCAGGCTTTGGGCCTCTGGATATACTCTATCTATGGAAAAGAATCATCTAGTCGGGCCCTTCCGTTCGCCGTACCGTTCGTGGTCTCCAAGACGTTAACGTTGCGGAGCGAAAAGGACAGCAGAGTCGGTAGGATCGAATTAACTTTAAAGAAAAAGCTCCAGACACTTATATGTCATGTGCTGAAGGGGTGTCAGACATATGACCTACGCACGTCGGCGGCGGAGGTGTAAGACTGGAGGGTTGATTCTGGTTCAGCAAGGTTAGTGCCCACAAAAATATTTTTTAGTTGTTTCTTCTTCAGGGGCGGATGAGCTCAGAGGCCATACCTGTGACATTTTTAATGCCAAATAATCGTAGAAATTGTAACTAGCAAAACAGTCTTGCAGCACATCATCCAGTGCTCTACTAAGCATCCCAGCCCACTCCGGGAAAGCAGTTGAGAGCCAATCCTAACTCTGTTGCATATTGGAGCCCGCGTAAGGATTAAACGTTCCCGGACGGTCGCTACACAATGACAAGCTCGCAGAGCGAAGTAGATGATGTGCTGCGGGTTTGGCTGGCCAGCAACCCCTCAGTTGTAGGTTACGTGGTTATAAACACAGACGGTAAGTCATAGGGTGCAAATAATTAGTCACTTTCTTGGGATAACGGCCTTTTCGGGACGAGATTCTGGATGCACGAAACCCTATTTTAAAGATGGAAATCGGAATACTTAATCCGGGGCCTAAATTGCTAGCAGCAAAATATTTCACATGCTTATAAGGTCTAAGGAACGACCTCCACTACTATTTTGTTCCATGACGGTTAGAGTAATGAAGAGGAGCGCGCAGTTCAGTATATCAGTGATGTTTACCTGTCCTTATTCCTCTGCTCTCCCGGTCAACGAATGGGATAGGGCGCATGTGCATTAGAAAACTCGTATATGCATGTTTCCTGGCTTAACTTGTAAGCAGTGCTTAACCTATTTATATACCTGTGCCTCTATACACATGAGTAGTTGGTTGGCAGTTTCCCAGCATTCGGTGTTTTATATGGCTTGGACATTAGCGGAAGTTGTGGAGGCCTAGTAGGATATGCTTCCGCCGTGATATGTATACAGGCATTCCTATCAGGCACCATGAAAAACTTTCCAGAGAGCGTGCTGTCCACTACACTGCACTTTTGACGTAAGCTGGAGCAACAATGAAGAGAGGAATAGCGCTGGAATCAAACCCGGGGTGCGCACGTGCACTAAAGTGCAATTGTGTAGCTACTATGAATCAGTCACTTCTGTAGGAGAACCGTTGTTTTCTTGTGTGCTTCTTCTGCAGTTCTTTCTGTGCGAAAGCACGGCAGTGCATGCGCGAGCTCTTCACGACTGATGTGAGACCAGCCGACCAAACACGTTTCAGTACACGCGCGGGCTCAGTGTGTTACCCTTGTATATGCAAAGCCTTTCCATAAAGTTACTATGTGCTGTTACTGGAGCCTTTTGAGAAGGCGATGGTAAGACTGCAATATGAAACGTTGCATCGTGAATTAATGTGAGTAGCGCAATTCGCTGCTTACTGTATCACTCCCTCTTACTTGTCTCAGAATCGAAGTATCTAATTAGCAGTATTTGCTCTGCATGTTGCCTAGGGGGAACTCACAACGGTGCGTCTCCGTACGAAAGAAGGCCTTGAGTTCATTACTTGCCAGCTTATCTCCGGATATGCCCTGATTGCCATCCAAAATTGTACAGAGAAGCCGTATGACAATGGTGATGCCAGCCAGTCAGCTGCACCTGAGGGGCAAGAAGCCTAATACCTTTGGGGTGATAGAGGTGTTTTAAACTTAGTTCTCAGCGGGGCAGTCAACAGTGCAAAGCATCCCATGCAAGCACTTTATTGCCCGAACGTGCATGTAGATACCCGTTGTTTGTACGGCCTACGCACGAGCCGGGCATTAAATATGCTATTGCCTCATAACCATGCAAATGGATTACATAGCTTGAGATCAAAAGCTAATGTTGCACCATCTTTCAGCACTTGTGCATTTGAATGGAAAATCGACAAGGCTATAAGCTAGTAAATAATGGGCTGTCCATCCCTGTTTTCTCCCAGTGGAGGGTAGTAGGGGTACAGCCAGCCCAAAGAAATTTAAGACATCTGGCTGTACAGGCGCTATGTTTTGGTTGTGCTAGAGGCATTTGGCTAGCAGCACTATCATACAGAGAGGCTTGTGCATCGCACTGGAGCCATCGGTACACTTGCAGTATTGGACCAGTGTTACACACTACATGTCCATGGTTTGTAAAGTTCCTAGTGAGCTAGGGCAGTTACTGCTTCAACAAATTCAGCTAGGGGAGCTGATTTTGGTGCAAGGTACCTTTCGATGCAATCCAGGTAGAAGGCATACGTATCATCAAACAAGAGTCGATAGGTATTAGTACACGCCTGGGTAACCACGTGCTCTTACCCGACTTAGGTTCGTTCCTAGAAGATAAACCATGTGACACGAACTTGAGTTATCAGGGCAGTGTGCGTCTGTATCCGTCACTGCTTGCTGCATCGGTGGGTTGTGCTACTACCTTCGGCTGAGTATATCCCTTACTTCTTAGGAAAGACTGTGCTGCTGCTCAACCGATCTCCAGGATAAGAGCTTCCAATAGCAGTTGAAAGTCTTTCCATTTAGCACCCCACTGGTGGTATTGGTGCCACGCTTGAAAAATCTTACGCGTAGAGCTCTACGATTCACATTTCGGCATACCCATGCAGCCTCTTGAGGCAGAAGAAGCATGACGACAACAAAAATGTGAGATTCAGATGCAATACAATAGCAAATTCAGGACTGTGGGGCAACGTAGAGTGGTGGCCATCAATAACTTATCAGCCTAAAAGGTACAGACTACGCTCATGGTGGTGATTAGTCTGATTTTATACGAGATACAGGATGTGTCGAAGGCATACAACAAATTTTACAAACTTCCAGAGAGATGTGTGTTTTGAAACTGTATGCTGATTTGCCTCTACGATCACTGGGGTTCCAGGGAGCCTGAACCTGCAGAAGCTCACACAACCAGCCCACGGTCGAATTTCGTGTCTATTAGTTCTGTAGCTATCCTGAAAATAATTTGTCAAATCAAGGAGCAAAGAGCCAATCTGGCAGTTGTAGCACATGTTTTTGTGGCAAGTGCAGCTATGTAATATAGCGTTACCCCCTTTAAGCACAAGTTTGTTGTTCTGGAATGAGGTAGGGCTAGTCGTGCTTGAGGAGAGTTTTGCAGTAGTGTTCGAAAGCTCACCTTTTAGGAGCAAAATTTTGTATACCCCAGTAATGTGTGGAGACTCCTTACCGAATAATTTTGTTTCGAGCACTTGGCAGATGTCTGAGGGAGAAGGCTCCCTAGGCAGTGGTCGCCTGGAAGTAACAGAGAGCAAAGGTTTCCACTATACAGGGGTGTCTTTCGCGCTGACTGTTTTGATGGCGCCCTAAAGCCCTTGAATACCCATCAGATCTCCGTGACGATGCCGTGGCTCTGCTTAAACGTACTTGCATACTACAACTGATAGTTAACGCGCTTCCCTCTTGCTGTACCTTCTAGATGATACTGTACCCATATCTGCGCTCGACTGGCAATAGACGACCTCCTAATAAATGGAAAGCTCTTGTCGTTTGTTACAACGCATGTGTATGAACAAAACGTGACAAGTATGCACTCCAGTGAGACCAACAGGACGAAGATACTGAAACTGTTTTGCCGAAAGCGTCTGGGGGAGCCTCCTACCTTCTCTCTAGATTATAAAAACTACTTACACCGGGAGTACTGCTAGTCCATGGGAAAGGCGGAAAATGCTTCGGATAATTTCCTCGTGCTCCCTATTCTGGAAGGCGGCGGCCAGCCCTTGGATGGCACATGCGACCTACTGTGCCTACTGGAACTTCTTCAAGTCTCACAATTGTGTATCAAAACCACCTAAAAAAGCTGTGAGGCATTAATATCTTTCATTTAGTTGGGTTCTCTGGACTGTAATCCCTCAGACATTGCAGGAACTACGGGGGAACTAGTATGCCTTCTGTCCCTGGAGCAGCAGGGGTCACCAAGTGAGGCGACGATACTAACTATGCAGTTCATGGCCTTCGTAACTACTAGAACGCCCAAACCATCGGCATGCTTTATACCGCTTTGCATATTTTGCGCAGTGAACATGTCGTATTTCATCAAGAGTGGGGATTTGGGGGGCGGTCTAAGGGGCTGCGGGTTCAACGCCATGCAAGAGTTCGAAAAAGCCTAATGTTAGAGAAAACGCCAATCTAGAGAGACTCTGTGCATTTAAAAAAGTACAAATAAATATTGGCAATATTTCAGAAATCTGATGAACAGTTGACGGGCACCCCTGCTTGAGAATAGCACTCGAAATACTACCGGTCCATGTAGCTGCTTGTGCAAAAAAGCTCGGGACACAATTTCAGGAGGTTTTTCCCCTCTGGCCCAGCTCGTTCTTTATTACTTTCTAGGGTCCCTGTTATCGAGGCATCTTTGGGATTCACGCCTCTCCACTTTATGTGTCAGCACTTTCACTTACCTCCAGTGCAGGATAAACACCGATCAGAAAGCCTACATGACATGGTTCAAGCGTATTTGTTTTGATATTCTGCAGAATGAACCGCAGCGTAAGCCAGGTGTTCGAGGAATTTCAGCGGGCGAGGTCCCACTTTGTCCAGACATTAGCCGATCTCAGTCAGAAGCCGCAGAACATTGATGGACTGCGGTCGGCTGGTAAGATAGATAAAGGCGAAGCAGGCGGTGATTTCAACTGCCGCGCATGAAGATACGGCTACCAAAACCTCTTCACGGTGTAATAGCAAATTGGTGCCAGCTCTCCCGTTGTGAAATTTAAAATCTGCCCGAGGAACAACGATCTCATTGTTATTTTTCCATCCTGAGGCTGATTAGAGCTTCCTGTGCTCCTTTCTGGAACGCTTAGGAGCATTGCAGCTGCTGCGTCCCCTTCTACTTGACTCTATACCCGGCATCCAGCAGACGGCAGCGGTTGCCTTAGGAAGGCTGGCTGGACATAGCGAGGTGGCCGCCAGAGAGTGCGTAAATGAAGACATCCTCCCTCACCTAGTGGCTTCTGTGGCAGAACAAAACGTGAGGCACTATAATTGAAATGCAAAAAAAATGCTGTGGAAGCAGCTGCTGTAGGTTTTGTTCCCTGCCTCTGTTGTGCCTCTAAGGCTGGTTTACCCGGGGCTACAAGTTGCTTTCCCTTAGTTCAGTGTTACACGTGTTTTTCGTGTTGCCCCCACCTCACAATAGTGCTCATCATTTAACATCAGGGCAATCGCAGCGAAAGTGGCCTGGAAAGCGTTTGATTACAGAGTTCGGCAGTGAGTACGACCTAATTATGCATTGGTTTCGAGCACTGCGGGTGCTGTTACAGAGATTCTATAGGCGATCTACTGCACTTGTGATGCGGTCTATTGCCAAACATTCAGCTGAACTGTCGCAGGTAACTGGCACATCAACCTGTGCGAAATTCCTGTTGTATCGCATATAGCTGGTCAAGGCTAACTTCCTTATGACCACTGTCAACCTGACCCTTCACTTCCTGCCAACAAGCCATGTTAAAGGCGGTAGTAGTATCAGCAAATCGTTCATCCTAGTGTCCCCATATCCTCAACACCAGTGCTTTTGACTTCCAAACTCGCTTTGCTGAAAAAACGCTTAGCCGATCGTTGGTGTTGGATCCATTTCGTGCATGTTGCCTCCACTATGGCGTACGCTGCTGTTGTCTGCACTCTACCCGCCAAATATACTCGCCGTGTCCCACACAACCTGTTTCATTAGGGTTTGACCAGCCTGAATTGCTCCCGTCAGGATCCAATCGTATGCTGTACAAAACTTTCAATTGCTTCCCAATTGCCATTTTTCGCTCTTCTTCCCTTTGTGTGTAAGTTTACCAGTCCGGGCTTGTGCCCTGTGTGGTCGTATGTCTGGCACTTCATGCTGTACATCTGAATTCTCTAGGCAGTAATTGATTGCGGGGCACTGCCGGCTTTATCCCAGTGCCTGGAGGCATTCGATCCCCAAGTGAAAGACGCAGCTGCATCAGCAATAGGCAAGAACCAGCATAGGTGGCCCCTCCCACACACGCTAGCTATCTGCGCTTGGCCCTCTTGAAATTTCAGGGAGCCCACTTATGCACGTATTCACCGTTCTGGCTCCCTCCCATTCCGATAAAGACATCTCAATTCTTGCATACGGCACAATTCCTACTGCCGTACCGCCCCACTGTAGGCGACTGTCGTACGTGTTGCTTTCCCTCCAGGCTGTATCGCTCGCCATTCCGAGACATTGGCCTCCTCTGTAGTCGCCGCTGGAATTGTCCCGCTTCTTGTTTTGTGCATACAAGAGCCAGAAATAAACATAAAACGAAGCGCAGCCTTAGCGCTTGGGGATATTGCTAAACATTCACCAGAACTGGCGCAGGTCCGCGTATAAATTCGAACACACAGTACAATTGTAGTCACAGCAAGTGATGTACAGGAAGTAGCATGTATGAAGTGTTGCGCCGGTGGTGTGGATGCTCTTGTATATCTGCATGCTGTGTTTTTATCGTTACGGCATCTTCTGCCACCGCTATAGGTCGTCTGTGACGCTGGCGCAGTTCCACTTCTGTCCAAGCAGCTAACCAGCACTGATACAGTCGTGCGAAGACAGGTATGGCCTTGACAGGCAGACATAAATACATCCGCGCAAAAAGTTCCGTGTCAGCATGCGTGGTGTTTTCGCCTTGATCACATGGCGGCATCGCTTTACCAGCGCGCATGTTGCAACCCCAAAAACCGCGCTTCATACTTTCCCTCCGTTTTCTATGGCCTTCCTTCGAATCTTGTTGGCTAGCCGATAATCTAAAGTGAAGTGTTCCCAGGGGCATTCTACCACTGTCCTGCCGACCACAGAGCGGCTTAACTGTGCCTGCCGTGTTTTTCTTGTTAATCATCTTCCCCATGTCATCCTTCGGGGATATTGTGAGTCCCAGCTGTGAGGGCTTTTCCATTGGTCACTGCGTATCTACAAGTGTCCGTCGACGTTTCCCCCACAGATTTGTTGGTGCCTTTCTCGCATCGCCTTGCACTCCGTAGATTTTGCCGAGGTCAGAGCTGCGTAACATCAGACGTAGCAGCAAGTGAAGCCAGTAGGTGATCCTTTTTTTTGCGTACTCGTCTCTGCGCTGTTCTTCTCGATTCACGGTAGGAATCCCCTACATCTGCAATTAATCAACAAAGAATTCTGTTCTACTTTATTAGGCTGTGGTAGAGGCTGATGCCCTACCTAAATTACTCCACTGCTTGAAGGACCCAGACGAGCTCGTTCGGTAAAACGCCATAACAGGAGTAGACAATCCCGAATGTTGGAGGGAAATGCACCTTCAGTGTGTATCAAGATATCTGCACTGGCTGCATACGCACACCACAGGCCCTGTTGTAGAAGTAAAAGTAAATGCTTGTGCAATTGTTTCTCTTTGTGATATTTCCTCCTCACTCAGAAGGAACGCAGCGGCCTGCGTGAGAGAAATAGTTAAGCATACGCCTCAACTCGCGACATTTGCAGCGAATGCCGGTAAGGCCAAAAGCTGAATGACAGACACGCAAACCAGCTAGTGATAGTATAATACGTAGATTCTGAAGGGCTGGCAGACCTGCAGAGGTACAGAGGAAGGCCTCATATAATAGAATTGAGCGCATCAACAGAGGCAAAGCTGGGTAAAGTATGCTGGTAAGCGCGAAACCTTTAATGGTATAGTTACCTGCGGTTTACTTAGGGGCCATTGCGGCTCTCGTGGATTTGATACAAGAAACCACAGGGCCTACTCGGTATGTCGACAAACGCATATGCTTGTGTACAACCTGCTCCCGACAACTATGCCTAGGTGTATCATTGCACCTGCATAAGTTCCCATGTTTTCTTGACCAGTCTCGAACATTTTACTGCGCTACCACCTTCTGAGTGCTAGGGGGCCTTCTCCCCCTGGAATCCCATGTGGGCTCCTGTAGCCCGCAGTTGTGCTGCTCATATCAATCTCCGTGCTGCCGAAGTGGCCGCTGCTAAGTGGCAGGTTCTGCTTTGTACATCCACTTGTGTTGTTTGTAGTGGTATTTATTGAGATTTTTGTACACGTTGCTTTCGTATGCCTCTTTGCAGCGTTGCCGGAATATTAGCCCTGGGATATATAGGTGCTTTTACAGAAACATTGGCTTTGGCTATCATCGTACAAAAAGGTGCGTCATATTGGTTTTATCATAGATTTTTTCGTGGCTATCTTTGGTCCCATGAATAAAACCCGAACGTAAATTAAAATATGCCTGCGGCGTGAAGCTGTGACGAGCAGTCCTGTCCACACTTGTCTTCCCTGTTTCGCGTAGTTTCTGCAGTAATCTTTTACTCCTGTCATTTCTTCGTGTGCTTATTCTGGTTTCGATGAACTTACAGGGATCCCCCCCTTGAAAAACGCACTAGAGACGGAATCAGAAGACCACGCAAAGGCAGCTGCTGCCTGGTGCGTCTGTATGTGCTCTTAAACACACAGGCCAACTCACCAATGCCCGTGCAACCAGATAAAGGCGTCCACTAGCTGAAGTGCTGTATGAGGCTAGTCCAATAGATACTATCCTAGACTGTTTAGGTGCATTTGCTTTTCCTTTTGAACGCGAAGAAGCAGAGAGTACGTATCTGCAAGCAACAGCAGCAGGAATAAAACAGACATATGTGCAGCTTTACAGGAACGCAAAGAACTTCTTCTTCGTCATAGTATGTGCTTTAGGGCTGTGGGGCAGTTAGGCCGCCATACTCCAGACCACGCCATGGCTGTTGCAGAAGCAGATGTGCTCAGGTTGTACGGCTTACAATAATGCGTATAATCATTAGAGTGAAAATTGTGCTTGCTTTTTTATAAAAAGCTGCTCGTATGATTCTACTTGTTCTGCTGGAGAGGTTCGTAATTTTCACTTGAGTCGATCTGCCTATGTATTTAGGCTTATGGCGGCATTTCTCGCTCCAGATTCATCAGATGATCTGAAGCAAAAAGCAAAAAGGGCTTTAAAAGTATGAATCTGCCAGAAAAACCAGCATTTGATGTTGCTTTTAACCATTTGGTGCCTAATGAGCTTGCAGCAAGCACCGCTTTCTCTTCTACGCCGATGACTGGTCTACACTCGTCACTGCTAATAATATGGTAGTAGCGCTCCAGCTAATGGTGCGGACTGTCATGGCATAATCCAGCAGTTCTCACTTGCGGCTTCTGAATGCACGTATATCGTGATCTTGGTGTCTACAGGGTACTGTGCAGATGTGCACCCACCTGGCTGCGCTGGAACCGTTGCTCAACGAGGCGCCACCTTCCATTCTTAAGTACAGCGGACACGAATCATGAGTGCACTGCGGGCGCTGCTAGGGGTAGCGTTCACGTTATTCATAAAACTCCCTTTTCCGCATTGAGGCACATAAGTGGATTCTAATAGCAGTTGTTTTTGTGATTAATCGCTACCTCATTAAGCAGCTTTTAGTCCTCGATCTTGCGACAAATCTCACCAATTAAAATATCATGCGTATATCGCTAGTGCCCCTCCGTACGTACTTCCCTCTTTATGTAGCTGCCCCTCGTAGTCTATTTGTTTCCTCTTCGCTGTTGTCGTACCGTGTTCTGTTCGTCTATTTCTAGGTCTCCTCTGGCTTTCCCAAGCTGGTATACTAAGGTTTTACTATTGCCATTAATCTATGACTCCATTTGCTCCAGGCACATTGTTCAGCAGTTCGCCAAGGTTCTCCCTAATGACCCAAAGGCGAGAAGAACTTTTGTGCAAACGGGTGCACTAGAAACACTGCTGGTAAGGTAACAGCGAATCAACCATGGAGTCAACATACCGTAAGCCAAAGCACAACAAGCTAATAGAATAGAGCGGCACCTACCTGCAGCTAGACAATCCTTCACGTAGAAGCTTTTAAAGTTAAGTGGAAGGTTGGTGGAAGGAGGCTCCGCCACAACAACAGATTTTCCATGCGCCTTTTCACAGAAGATACGCGAAACTGAGGCTGCTTCCAACGTACTAGATTCAATTCAGAGTGTATGCGACCTGTATCCCCCAGAAGTCGTTAACTACTACTCCCCTGGTTATTCAGGTAAGCCTGTAGCTACCTCATCTGCCCCCCTACCCCTTGTGACGCCATCCAAAGTTGTCAAAGTGTCTCTATCCTTGTCCTCTTTGGTGTGTGATCTCTACTGTATCACCATAGCATCCCTTCGATGAGCTCCCGCTAAGCAATATCCGCTCATGTGCTTTGTCTTACCACCCCTCTCATGCTAATTGTGCTAATGTTTCCCTCGTAGCACACTTCGCTCTGCTTTATGTCCTCTGCAAATGCTTTTCCAGCATTGCTTATTGAGAAGATTGACGCTCATTCATAGACGGGTTGTTGCCCGTCGAGCACTACAGGCGAGGACTGTCAAGTGCGGGACCATAACAACATTGAAGAAATATGGAATAGGAATGCCACGGAGCTGCCACATCTAAACAATTACTATAAATACACAAGGAAGGTTTTCCGATGCAATTTCGTTTTTGTACAATCCAAACTACCAAAATATCAATGTTCAATCAATCCCAAGAGCTGATAGATTTGTTTTCGCTCTCGAGCTATGCGATGCCTCAATAGAAAATAGGTTGTAGATTACTTTTCATCATTAATAAGCCTTTTGACACACTACACGCTTAGTCCCATCGAGCATGGGTACGTCTGGAACAGCTTGCGTTCCAGTATCGTAAGGGACCTAAATTACGAGACAATCTATCTGGCTAGCTAAAAAAAGCAGCTGACTTTCTTTCTGACCCTAAGAATACGTCGTAATATGGGTCAAAGCTAGGATATAGAACAGATGCTAACATCATGATTAGTGGACTGGCCATAGTAAGTACCTTCAGAGGAATCTTATAGCATGATCCAACAGACAGGTAGGCTATTGCGCAGCACACCACCTTAAGGAAAGCCAGGACAAAAACCCTGCTCGGATAACACACCTTCCGAGAGCTCAAACATATGAATATGTAAATAAGAATGCAGCAGTGTAACAAGCTGAGGTAACCATCTCCACACATCAAGTCACTCCCAATTCTTAGAAAAAGCTTAGTGCCAGTAGTGCTAGAACAGTAAATAACGGCAAGTTGCCACTGTCCTCTACCTTGAGAATCTTAGTGTCACTAAGAAGCTGGCAGACCTGCAGGCAAGCGAAATGTTGAGTACCTTTGGGTGGCCATTTTCCCTAGAAGTACACCAGACAACAGAATAAATGCATTTACGGCATGTTTTCTAATCAGTCTCCCGACAACCTCTGCAGATACTCACTATGGTGACGTGCTAATTTACCAACCGTCGGCCGTAGCACGTTGCTGAAGGAAGTGGTGAGCCATGTGTAGTGAATTTCCACTACAATTGCGCGTCTACCTGTCTTTGTCGCGGTAGAACCCTCACTCGAATATTGACGCCTGAATAATTAGGTCGACACCCATTCTCTACCAAGGGTCTCATCCCTTGGCATGGGTTAGCGCAGACGTCTGAGCAACCCTATCACAAGCTAGCAAGGATGTTGAGTGCGCAGAAGAAATGTGCGAAAAGCCCTTTTCCCACAATGTTATAAGGACATGCCAGCGCTACAACTAGAATGAGCTGTCCACTCAGCAGGCTTTTTAACTAAGAGCGGCTAACCAACGAAAACTTATGTCCTAGCCTGCTGGTTGTGATGGAGGCCACGCTTCGCCACGGAGGAAGCTACTATCCAAAGCCCCAGCATGCTACCTGCACACAATGTTGCAAGCAGGGAAAATCTTCGCTGACCAAACACTCTTTAAGCCTCGCTTTCGTATAAACTTAGCTATTCATTTTAAGCATTGCATTTCATTTATTAGCAAAAGTTCTTGTTAGAACTGCTGGGATCTGACATGAAGGCTTGCAGTAGCAGGTCTCCTTAGCATTATGGCGTGGGAACGGAGTATAGTCCTACGAGTATACTCATTCATTTCTCAATCAAGAAAAGTAGTGCGCTCATCTTGGTACGCGGCTTGCATTCTGTTAGGAAGCCTGAGGACGAAGGCATCCAGCTTCGGATCTCCGCACGCGCCCACCAACCCCGCGTTGGGTACCGTTGCTATACCATCTTGCTGCTCTGCTTCGGACAGCACCGTAACTTACGGTTTATAGGCACCAATCACGCAGATAATCGTTCAGGTGCGCGACTTCTATCGAACAAGCAGTCTCAGGCAAGAGATGGGCTCTAGGAATCATGGAAACGCCGTGCGAAGCTCGACTCACACCGAAACGCATGCTGTACTTGTAAACCACGTAGCTTCTGCGCTATCATACTCCCTCCACTCAGACACCCGGGTTCCCGAAGACAGCCCTTCTTTGAGCTGGCACTTGTGAAAGAATTCCGGTGATCTCCCAAACTCCCTCAACATGATGGCCAACCAAGGGACTCCAATGTGGTGTGGGTGGCCGCGTACGCAGATTCCAAGCTTAATAAAAGCGCGTTGTACAATTTTTGCTTGAGAACGACTGAGCCTTGTGGCTACAAATGAGCGTGCATCCTAAAAGAACACCGTTGGGATTCGTAATGTACGCCTGTAACTCAAACACAGCAGTATTACACGAATCTTGGTTCCTAGAATCCAGTTTAAGGATCATGCATGCCGCCAAACCTGAACAAAAGCTGAACTTAAAGCACTTCCCTGTTTGGGCCAAGTTAGGGCGTTGAGGGTAGTGGCTTTTCAGTTGGCTTAGTGCAAGTCAGTCGCCTTTCAGCGACAACTGGCAGGCTGAAATATAAAATATCGTTGCTTGTGCAATCTTTTAGCCTATCCGTAATGCAGCTTGATTTCGCGATAAAAGCACAACTGAATAAATGGACACAGCCTCTAGCAACGTCTGAAATGAATTTCTTTTTCGAAAATCGCCTAGTCACGGACCAGTTCCTGTTTATCTCATGCTCTTGAGCAGCATGCCGCTGCATTAACTTGTTTACGGGCTGAGGGGCCTGATGGGCTACGGGCTTACAGGGTCCCTAATTCGTTATTGATAGTATGCATAAGTACCTGTGGAAAAACAAGTGAATGGCAACATTCTGTAATTACATTATTACAATTAGCTCCGCGTTCAGGAGAAATTGCAGGTAAGATACGAAAGTAAACCCACACTCAGACCCATTGTGTGTAGAAGCATTTAGCATATTTGCATAGGAATAACAAAACCAGAAGCAAAACATGGGTAAGAAAAATATTATTGCAGCGTACGTGCTGTGCGAAACGTACTGATAGGCTCCCAGCAATGATAAAGCAGAAGCCCTTCCCGTAGTCGCCCCTTGCCAGCCGCCTCCGAACGACGAGCAGGTATATCCCAGTTAATGAAGAACGCTCAAGTTATTAAAACTAGTACACAGCACACAATAAAGCTAGTAGCCAACAAGACGATCAAAGTAGGCGAGCATCTCTTGCTAGAGTGAATCTCATGGATCATTGATAGTCGCAAGTGTCAAGACAATGCGTTACAGGCAAAGCTTAGCACAGCATTTTAGGGTGAAAGCAGTTTAGGGCTACCATCACATCTTTTGCCCCAAAGCATGGCATTATAACGCTTGTAGCAAGCGAGTAAATACCCTTTGTCATTGTTCTTTCTGAGTGCCACCAGTCCGGGAAGAGCGCGCTGAGAGGTCCTCGATGCCCTTTCGGAAGAAGCGAGCTGCCACATAGCCTTATGTCCATATCCACCAAACTGCCCCAGTCAGGCGTGGTCAGGCATTGCTCTCTTATGTGCATGGCTCTACAGGTTTGGACAAGGTCTTGGCTGTTCGCCCAGTCAAGGTCAAGGGAAACCCTTGATAGTTTTGAAAGAATGTTGTAGCCTGAGCCCACAGCGTCTTTAGCACCCAGCCTCTTGGTCTCGAAACAGAAGCGTTGCCAGTGCACCATGGCCGCGCCTCGCGGTTACCGTGACGTGACAACTCAACAGGAAAGTACAGATTTCGTCCCACTTCTGTCCACGTTTTTACTGGAGCTTCACGATCATACACCAGTTCACTGTTACTGACCCTCGGAGCTGCCAGCTATTAACCCTCTGAGTAAAGCATACCTTCTGAACTTCCCCTATTGCTCAGGGAGAAAGAAGCGTGAAAAATGGAATGATGAAGGTTGTAGCCAACTTGTCGATACCTCGAAGAGCGACGCAACGTAGTTGACCTAAGGATGGACTAGTCATGGAGGCTGTATGCAGCAGATGGAAACCGCGAATTTCGTTTTGCTGAGTTTGTTGTATACAAAGTGTTTCTGTGCTGCTTGCGGTTTCCCTAAATTAGCTTCGGCGCATTCAACCAGCAGGCGACAGCCTCCCCTCAGGGCGCTGACTATGGAAGGTAGCGCCCATCACCAGCGCATACTTCCGTAACATGCTGTGGATCCTGTACTATCATAGCCTTGAAGGAAGGCACGTCTATTGAATGGCGGGCGGCAGTGGGATGCTAACTTAGCAACAAGCAATAGGGACCACCATACAAACTTATCACTCCGGACGCGTGTGAGGAGAATCTGCCGTAGCGCGCGGTGAATGCGGTTTGTTTGGCCCTCGGACTACAACTAACAGGTGCTTCAAATGGCACATGGTATCTTGACTTGATAAGGAAGAGCTGGAACAGCTTCCAGATTTCTGAACCAAGGGAAACATCGGGCAGCGAGATTTACACATCTCGCTACCCATGGTAACTTACTAAACCCTACGCCGAAGGATTCAAAGGGTCACACTGGAATACGAACCAAGGAAGATAGATTGCTATAATTCGCCTGCAAAACTCCCCGCAGTGAAGACTAGATCATGTGACTTTGGAGTGCGCGGCAAACGCCGTGAAAGTTCCACAACATATGTCCAGTGTCTGCTAGGAATTCGTGAGGGATTGAAGTAAGGCAGTGGAATTCGGTAAAAGATCTTTGGCTGCTTAGCAGCACTAACAGGCTGACAGGCATATCTTTTCCAAGCTGTGCATGTCATGCTAGTAGAACTAGCTGGCAAAGGTATTTGATGCTTTGTCGATAGCCATCTTCCATGCCGTACTGTGGTCATGTGCAAGTTTACATGATACCACTGTGACAGACTTTGCCAGACCCGGCATAGACGCGCCACAGCCTCGTGAAGTAGACCATAGACAAGCTGCCAAGCAGCTTCTTCTCGCCATTATCCTTGAGTCTTGGCAGTCAGAATGTGCAATTGGTTGGCTAGCTGTGGAGGGCACCTGGAAATTCCAGAAGCCTTTGCAGGCGCTGATGCGATCATTCTACAACAACGGACATTCAGGCGGAGCCCATCTCCTTCAGTTATGGCTGGGATTGCCTTTACGTAATTGATGACCAGTTCCTTTTCATCGGTTGCCTG